AAGGCGGTTTTAATTTCAATAGTATTGATATTAGATTACTTTCACCATCTTATTGACTGTGTATACACTTCTAAGCTTCCCATCTTTCTAAACACATTGCCTGTCTATTGTGATGACGCAAGTTTAGGTTATAGATGTCAAGTAGAATATAGCAGAAACAGACCATAAGTTTTTTAGTTAGACCAATAGAAATACAGGAGATGACCGGTCAAGTGAGACGGCAGATGGGCAGTGAAGCGTGGGTCAGCAGTTAGGTAGCAGTTAGACAGTAGCAAGGGGAAAGACGTAGAAGTTGTAATTAAATGTAGTGTTAGAGTTTGTCATAGAAGTGTAACTGTAGTAAATGTTAGTAGACAAAGCTTAGGACGTAGTTAGGGTAAGAGTAGGAGATTAAATTAAGAACCATGTTAAGACAAATTTTCTAGACAAAATATTCAATATACTATATTTTAAAATTTTCCCAAATGATCCGGTGCAACACAAATTGCATGATTAAAGCTAACAATATTCTCTCTCAAATCGGTAACTTACATTTGACGAAAGTAAAGAAATGAAGTATTACTGATGTATAGCTTTAAGATATTGAAACTATCTGCCAAATAGTACTTAAGCTTCGGAAATTACCAAATAAATATTTCATTTCATTCTTACTTAGAAGCTGACAATAGCTGTATTTTTTTAAAACAATTGCATTCTTAAGGAAAAGTTTTATAGGCTTGTATATTAAAAAATTACTACATCCCTTACTTTAGGTATTAGCTCGATCATGTTAATTTCTCCTCTGTATTTCGATTTTGTTTGCAACATATAATTATGGAAATTCCCAACTGACATTCCAAAAGCACAAAGTATTAATTTTTATACTATAACATTTCATATAAAACGTTTTAATAACAAGCCTTTAAAAGGAGAAAATAAATTAAACACTACTATTTAAATAACTATAAGGAAAAGTGTCGGTCACTTTACTGTCTATTGGATACCTTTACTAATATTTAGGAAGAGACCCACGCTTTTCGTTACAGTTATTTCAATAGTAGGGTATAATTTATTTTTTTCTGTTTAGTGCATTGTTCAGAGGCGTAGCGAGGGGGGGGGGGGGGGGGGCGGGGGACGACATATGTCCCCGGGCGCTGATCTTGAAAGTTTGAGGGGGGGGGGGTGCAAAAAAGTTCGCGGGGGGAAATGCAAATCGAAAATTTTGAGGGGGGGGGGGTGCAAATGAAAAGTTCGAGGTGGGGGGTGCAAATCGAAAGTTTGTCCCCGGGCGCCGGGAAGGGTCGCTACGCCTCTGGCATTGTTACATAAAAGTTTGCTATTAAAACGTTTTTTCATTAATTATTTAGTACTTTACAAGTTTTATTTACACTAGAAAATTGAAGTTGCAAGTGAACCCACCCTCTTTCCCCGCCCCAAATCGGGGGAAAAATTCTGAAAGAAACATTTGTCGCATTTGTAGATTATACTGACGAGAGTTAGACCCTACTTCTAAAATCTATACTCGTTTCCTACATTTTGTTTCTAAACATCAATCATGCAGATAGTGTTTCTTTCAGACTTTTTTTTCGTCCGCAGAAGGGGCAGTAAAAATTTCTGTGAGGGGCGGATTAAATTCTCCAGGGGGGTGCTGACACTGGTAAAAGTATACATTTTCTAAAGAGGCGATTATGTTAGTCTTTATTATCGAATATGGATGACGTCATTATTATATTTGGTTTTTTTTTTTGGCTTTACACTTGTTTACTCTAGAATCAATTACATCATTTTTTTTCGTGTTGTTTTGGGAAGTTTCGTTTCAATGTGCAACTTTCAGCTTTCCTTAGTTTTTCTCAAGGGCGTTCAGGACAGACAGACAGAAAGCTAAACAGACAGAATAGAGGAACAATTACAGTGATACTATTTTTTTTTAATTTAATAGCTTAACAATTATAACAATTATATTTAAGCTATTTTATAATAATGTAGGTGTAAGCAAAAGAAAAGTCTTATTGTTAACTTTGCAAACAGCTTTGTATTGAACATACTAACTTCACAAAAATATTAACTTAGCTTAAAAGACATATTTGATGACTACATGGTAAATTTCATCACTCTTGTTTTTTCCTAATGTAATAAACAAACAAAAATGCTATGGCAGAAATTATTTAATTAAAATCAATTAAATACAAGTACAATGCAAACAATATATAATTATCAGAAAAGCGAATCATAATTCAAAGTTTAAAACTACTGCAATTCATTCGTAGTGTTACATATTATACAATTTATAAAAAACTGTTTTTTTTTATTTCTTTGTTTATATATCCATAACTGAAAATCATGTTATAAAAAACATGTTTGTAAAAACACCGATCTCCGAATAAATACAGAAGAAATGTCAAATATGAAAGTATAATCAGAATTTAAAACATTCAAGAATAAATATATCAATTCAGCGAATTAGGTTATGTAACACTGCCACAGTGGGGATGTGGTGGAATGTCACCCACTGAGGTGTAGCGTTTTTTAGGGCTGTCACTGAGAGATAACACAGAAACCAGATGACGTTGTTTCTGATAGATCCTGGCTTTATTGCATATACACATTAGTATATGGCGAATTAATGTACCTTATTTGTACAGTAATGTAGTATTGGTACAGGATTGGTACAGTATTTGTATAAGTATTTGTAAAGTGTTGATACAGTGTTGGTACAATGTTGGTACAGTGTTGAACAATGTTGGTACAGTGTTGGTACAGTGTTGGTACAGTGTTGGTACAGTGTTGGTACAGTGTTGTTACAGTGTTGGTACAGTGTTGGTACAGTGTTGGTGCAGTGTTGGTACAGTGTTGGTACAGTGTTGGTACAGTGTTGGTACAGTGTTGGTACAGTGTTGGTACAGTGTTGGTACAGTGTTTTACAGTGTTTTACAGTGTTGTTACAGTATATAGCCCTTAAACAAATTTTAACAACAAAACGTTACGTTTCTGAATACTACTACGCCACCACGTGTAGGCAATAACATAAATACACGATTGTAATAACATAGAAGGTGACTGCCATTACATAAAACTGCCAACAAGTATTATAATTATAAATACTTCACCTAACTAGTCTAGCAACATGCAGCACTAGTAGGAATAATACAAAACAAATATTAAAAAATATAACTCATAATACCTTCATTATGTCTACAAGTTAATTAAGCAACTGCACGGTCCGTGTAAATAGCAGCTTTGGGTTTGGATGCCGCAGACACAGGTACAACTACCCAGTGTCCCACAGGTCACATCACAGAAGAACATAAAGAATACATCAACAGGTATAGTCCTTCAGGGGTCGCAACCATATAAATTACAAAGTATCCCCCTGATTGGTAACCATGGTTTGCTTTACAGTTACAACAGAAACGTAAACATATTAGCTAAATAAAATACCAGTTAAAAGACATACAAGTAAAAAAAAATACTTTAAAAATTAGCAAAATAAAAAAACTAACTAAAATATTTTTACACTGTAATACACAATTCTCCAGGACTTGCAATTAAGCTATCGACGTAAATAAACATTTCAACAAATATATGTTTTAACCAAACAACTATTGTTTATAATTAAATAAAGCCACCTTTTTTCAATATGTTTTAAAATCAAAGTAAAATACAACTTTAACAAATGAGTATTTAATAAATAGAAAAATGGCCCTTTGAGGAAGGATATAACGGGCGCTAGGTTGATAGTGCTGTCGATTTTCTCTAAACTAAAACTAAAACCAAAAACACCACCTTCATTCAATTTAACCGGAAACAAAAAATGACATTGAAAACGGATTTTTATCCAGAATTGGTACTTTAATTTATACAAAATATAGTCATAGGCATATCCCTAAACCATGCACCTAATCTCGCAAAAGTCGCATTTAGAGTTGCTTTCAGGCAACTTCACTTGGGAGGAGGAGGATCCGCCCCCCCCCCCCCCCCCCCCCCCCCCGCACACACCCCCAAAACATGTCTACCGTCCCATTCAACGAAATATAATTATATACTCTTTCCAGCGTCCGCCCCCTCACAGAAAATTCTACCCCTGCCCACGAAAATTTCAAGTACCCCCACCCCTCTCCGGGCAGGAAAAAGTCTGAAAGAAACACTGGTCGCATTTATAGATCATACAAACTAAAGGAAGAACCTGGGCAGGGCTTCGCCAATACCGGAAGAGATGCATGAAAAAAACTGTGCACGCTAAACACTTTTTAGGTTAGAAAAAGTTCCTCCCTCAGGTGAGGAAAAAATCTGAAAGATTATTAAACACTAATGTCGCCATTACCCGAAGAATTGCATGAAAGAAACTCTGCACGCAAACCACTTTTTAGATTAGACACATGAATTAGGCTGTAATTTTATTAAAGAGTATCGAAGACGACATTTCTTTTGAGTTTGGGGGGGTGGGGATCGGCTTAGACGTTCTTACGCGGGGGATGGGCTTCGCTTATACCCGAAGAATTGTATGAAAGAAACTCTTCAAGCAAACTACTTTTAAGATTAGATAAAATTGTCTTTTTAATTCAATGTTCACTCGAGAATCAATGACGTCATATTACAGTGTGCACTCTCCGGCTTGAGATTGTTTTCTACTATATGATCCACTGTTTCGTTTCCGTATTACTATGCATGTTTTTACTTTGCTTGTGTTTTCTCTATGGCGTTCTTGTCAGATACATAGATAGATACACAGATAGATAGAAAGATAGATAGACGGACAGCGAAACTATTATATAGAATAAACTAGCTTTATTATAAAGGATGCCTGACTGGACATTCACTTTATATCAGGATTAGTTTAAATGTAACACCAAACAAGATAATACAAAGTGCACATTTTAAGAAACAAAAAAAAAATACTATCTAACTTCTCATTGGCAAACCATATTTTCTATTGTAAAATGCACTTACTTCTGAGTTAACGTTTTATATCTTAATTAAAATAAGAAATGCATAAAGCGATAAACAATACATTAAAGCATAAACAGGATATTCGTATATTTATTTCAATGATATTTGAAAATTTAAAAATGTTCAAGATGTTTTTTAAAGATTCTATTCAGTTGAAGATTCCACCGTCCATTTAACATACGAGTCATTTAAGAGTTCAAGCGCTGAAGCTCTTTTATTAGGATCATATTGAAACATTTTATTTAAAAAATCTTCCAAGTCTTGAGAAAAAATAACCGGCAGTGCATATTCGGGTTTTTTCTCATTTCCCAGTTGAAACATGTGCTGCGCTGGTGTGTGGTCAGGCCATGGCGGATTTGTTGTGGCCATTTCCACCACAGTACAGGCCAGACTCCTGGAATTATACATAGAAAAGTGGAGATTTGTATTAGTTTAAAGAGTTTTAATTGCAGAACAATAGAGCTTATATTCCAAAGGTATAAATCATAGTTTTATTCCTGACATATATTATATATAAATATACTGATATATATATATATATATATATATATATATATATATATATATATATATATATATATATATATATATATATATATATATATAAATGAAAACATTTAATTTACATTTTTATTGAAGCTATAAGTCATTTTAAAAATGACTAATTATGACATTCAATTTACATTTTTTAAAAAAGCGTTGACATAGCTGTTTGTAGCAGCTAATATGGCACTTTCGCTAAGCCATTGATGTTCTTCAAACTTCTGTGAGATATTTGTGAAAATATTTTCAATTAAGTCGTCTTGACTTGATATCATGTTGCAAAAGATTTCTGTCAAGGTGACATATTGTAACGAGCTGTCAACTGCCCTCTTCCCATTCCCAATATCAAGCTATTGCTTTGCAAAAAGCTAGGTTGATAATCATATTGAAGTTGAACACGCATGTTGATTTTCTAGGTTAATTTCTTTACATGTCGCCATAGAACAGATGATTTCAGACACGCATCAAGCTCACTGGCCGATGTTGAACGCCATATAACTGGCAGAGTGTGTCTAAAATCACCTAAAAATAACACGATTGCTTCTTCAAAGGACTGCTCGTTTCAGTGGTTGAGCTACCGTAAAGCTAGCGTAAGCAAGGCATATGGGCCTAAGGCACATTGGGGCCCTCATCACTCTATAAAAGATTTAAACTTTTTCATTGGAAATGTAATATTTGTTTTATGTAGATAATTTTATAAGAAAATGGAAATAAACATTTTTTTTTTCTACTCTAGATATAATAACAAGTTCCAAAAAGGCTCCCAGTCTACAGACAGTGGCATTCGGTATGGGAAGTGGGGGGGGGGGGTGGTCGAACAGGGCCCATCCGTAATGACAACACTATATTGAGAGAATTAGCCTATAAATACATTTCGACTTTTTTGTGAGATTGTACATGGATCGATGCAAACATCAACTGACCGTGAAATTACCTACACCTCTCTCCTAACAATCAGCCCTCCCTGAAATTCCATCATACTAATAAAAATTGAACCATTTTTTTAAAATAACAAGCACGGGCAGTGTTTTTACAAGCTTAGTCTAACGTTTGTAAACATTTTTTTCTACTTTAATGACAATTTGTTTGTTGATCTAATTTATCTTTTCTAATGTGGCGCTATTAAAACTATAAGTTTTTGGTTTTCTAGCAATAACCAAGAAACTTTGGAAAGTTGTTATGAATACTGCATGGTAGTGTTTTTTTCCAAGATATTTTTCTAGAAAGGTACCTGAAAGAAACTCTGCAATTTAGTAAGGTTTCTGGCATATTTTTTTAAATTTGATTTCGGATGGTGGGTCCCAGCAGTAAGGCAGTGCGGTTTGCCATCCATATTTTCTCAGCGGCAACTTAGCATCTGGGGTCCGTTGATTGGATATCCGGCGCGACGGGTCTGTGTTACTATATAATTGCACAGGCGCATCTGCCGGCGCCCCGGGCGGTAGTGTAACCTGGTGCGCCCCGGGCTCCAGCATGAACACTATGGCGCCTATATTCGTTTTAATGAGCGTCATCCACTAGGAATACGAAAAGCTTCTCAAATCGATTACCAAATCTAACAAGGGGTTTTCCTCCAGCGCATCAGCAGGAGTAAAGGTTGGGCTCCCCGAGATAACCGCTGCTACCTGAGTGCAAGGGATCCGTTGATTGCGCAACCTGCATGGGTACTACTTGTTCATCGATAAAACTGCAACATGGGCGCCTTGGACGCCCCCGGCGTACGGATGACACCAAGCGTAAGCGCACCCTTTTTTAAAGTTTTCTATAAGAGAAAACGCACGATGTTTTTTCCGCCCTTCTTCTCACGTTTTCTCAATTTTGCAATTTTATTCTCAAAATTAACATTTAAATTAATAAGGCTTTTTTTGGAACCCTTTGTCATACAAGAATGAAACATTCCACGTACATTTAGCATTATACCCTGTATAGATACGTTTGTACATTAAGTATATAATTTGATTTGTATTTAGCGCCACCCCCTAGTTTGTGTACATAATTGTACAAAACAAATTTAGTTTTGTCTAAAACTTAACAATTATTAACAAATATATTTATTAAACACCCAGAAATGTGTTACATTTTTTTTACCCGTGCGGTCTACCCTTAAAAACTAAAAATGTTCAAATTTAGTGGGCTTCTAAGTACAAACATTCTTACCAAATATCAGCTTTACAATCATAGGGTGTATTATCTGTCCCATTTAATACTTCAGGAGCGACCCACTTTGTTGTACCGGCATTATGCGTTTTAGCTGGATTTGAGTTAGTCAGCATTTTTGATAATCCAAAGTCGGCTAGCTTTACACTGTTTTCATTTTCTAGTAAAACATTGTCACCTGTAAAATATAAAGTGCTTTTATAACCATGTTTTCTATACATGTTTGCATATTTTAAGACATAAGTTTTCTTGGAATCAATTTTGAAATAACCTTAATCATTAAAATGTGACTTGGTGTGTTACTTATCAGTTATTGTATTATATACTTTCAGTGATTAATTTTCATAAATTGGGAAAAATATATTATCAATATTAACTCTAATGACGTATGTGCTTTTGCTTACCACACTATCTCTCCATCTGCCGATATCACTGTAACAGGTAAACTATACTTCTCTTTTCCGATAGAACGTAAGTCTTACTAGTTACTTTTTTTAATGTATCGTTTAGTATAATGTTACTACTTTTAAGTAATTTATTTAATTTTAAACAATTAAAAACTTATTATGTTCTATTATATCTATTATATCTATAGTGCCGTTGTGTATAATAATATGTGAGATTGTTGAAAACGCAAATGCTATCGTCGATATTTAGACAATTACACAATTGATTTCAATTATATTGTTGTCAAGCGTGTGTAATAAATAATTAATAAACAATCAACCTTTTATATCCCTGTGAATAATTGGCGTACTTTGGTTGTGTAGAAAACTGAGTCCTTCAAGGATTTGCCGAGCGAATACTTTGAGCTTTTTCTCAGAGAGGCCATTCTCTTGTTTTATATACGACTTTAAAGACCCCTAAAATAATTTGTTGTGTATAAAACAAAATTTGTCTTTTTACTTTAGTTTTTTAAATAAATCAATCCTAATATATAAGTAAAAATTTAAAAATAAATTAAACGTACATTTAATCTGTTTTAAAATCTCAATATTATCTACATTTTAAATATAATCTCACAGAAGTAATGATTATATATTCAGTTATTTTATTTACAGCATGATGTTTTTGCTTAAACTGGTTTCCTTTCTTTATTACTTTTTTATTACTTTTTTTTTATCGAAAGCATTTTTATATTGGTTTAAAGTGCACAAATTGTTATAAATATTTGTGATAAAAACTTACCATAGGCATATATTCAAAAAACAGGTATAATTTGTTTCCTTTCTTTTGAAATCCGAAATAACTAATAAGTCTATGGTGGCTAACTTTCAACAAAATTTGTAACTCGGCATTTTTCTGTAGATATAAGAAAATGTATAGATTTGCATCACTTAAGTAAAAAAAAACTTTTGATAACTCAAAACACATTAAACAAATGGTGTACACACAAAACAAAGAGTGTTCGATGCTTTTTAATGGTTCCAATATGATAATTTTTATTTGCATTTCAAATGTTTTTCTGAATATTTAATTTATTGTAGGAATCTTACAGTCAAATTGCTATGCTTTCTAATTTAAAGAAACGACCAAATACAAATGTTATTCTGTGTAATTGAATTACTTTGTTATGACATTTAAAAAACTTTACCTGATTTTCTAATATTCCGTCAAACGTTTCCATTATCTTTAATGCAAACTCTTTAGACGTTGGTTTGTTTAAATCTTTTAAGAGATAAACACATCCGTACGTTCCTTTTCCTAGCGATGTGGACTTTTTCCAGTGCTCAGGAAGTTTTGGAGACACGATTTCTTAAACAAAAATACAATGTTTCCTTTTTATCTACTGTGATATACTGCCACCATTTCTAAAACAATATAACGCTAAATCTATATGCAAATCACAAAAAGTTTATACATGTAATACTATATGTGAATATTGAACTTGTTTTATAATTTAAATTTCCTTATACCTTCTTTGTTCTGAATAATTATTGCGTCCCGTTTTACGAGCCATAAAATCGAGACTGCTTTCTTCTCTAGAATGTGAGTTCCGCAAATTTGCATTTTCTCAAGTAAAGACATAATGCGTTCGTTTTCACAAATTTTAAAATTTCCAGGAATTTTCTCAGCAATAGCCAACAAACAATCTGCAGCAGCTTCTTGTTCCGTTATGTTTGTGGAGCTTATGCCATCATACAAACAGTCAAGCGGTTCGGAGTCTAAAATCTGTAAGGATATATTAGAACGTTAGAAAATTGAAATTTAATCCAAAAAAGTAATATATTACACACATGCAGAGGCGTAGCTAAGAAAAAGGCTGACCCGGGCGCCGACCCTAAAGGCGCCAACAAGGTGGGCTACATTTTTAGAACTGATTTTATACTGCAGTTTTGAATTACAAACAGTGTAAGTTAAGCAATGTAATGGCTACAAAACTTTACACACTAATTTAACTGTTTTCTACCTTAATTGTTAAACTGTAAAATATGGCATATCTTTAACAAAAACGTGACTGGAATAAAGCGCTTGCCAGATTTTCCTAGGTGAGGGGGGGGGGGGCGTTTTTTCGTTAACATCGGACGAGTTTACACTAGATTGGGGAAATAATAAACATTAAATCTTAAAAAAGAAAACAATTGCATCAAAGTGTTTTGTGCGTTTGCGTTATCAAGATGGTGCAAGGAGGGCAATGCTTTTTCGCCAACTAAAATTGCAAGGATGTACACTGAATTTGTGAATATATAACCTTTATCACCTTGAAAAGAAACGAATTGTACTAAAATATATTGTACGATTGTGTAATATTTTTAAAGAGCTAGTTACGTTATAGCCATCTTTACAAATGTGTATCCGACACATTGTTTTCGTCAACAAAAATTGCAATGATTAATCTTTGGTATATAGATCATTCTTTTAACACTTAGAAATGAAACCCATTGCAATGTATTAAAGCGCAGAATGTAACAGTTAGTTAGTTAGCTAGTTAGCTAGTTAGTTAGTGAGTTAGTGAGTTGGCGAGTGAGTGAGTGAGCGAGTGAGTGAGCGAGCGAGTGAGTGAGCGAGCGAGTGAGTGAGTGAGCGAGTGAGTGAGTGAGTGAGTGAGTGAGTGAGTGAGTGAGTGAATGAGTGGGGAGCCAAATTGAAAGTCACTAAGCCTCTTGACAACATCTATTGTAAATAATAATTCTCACCTCAAAAATTAATTTAGCTTTGCGACACATTTTCGTCAGAATTTTTATCCAAGATGCCAAGTTAAAATCCTTGTACGATCTGCTTTTATTTTCAATAGCTTGACAGATTCCCTGAATACACATTTGTGCATCATCTATTTTTTTAAAATATAGATTTGTTTAAATTGAAATTGCTTTTTTTTAAAAATAACAACCCACATGTTTATTTACATAGCTAAGTTTATTGTCAATGAAATCTAAATTTTAAAATGTTAGCTTACTATTAAAAAGTATCAAATGGAATTTGTAGTGTGCATTGCTAGTTATAAATATCAGGCAAAAAATAATGTTACAAATCAAATCTATATTGACCATTTTATGATCTTTGTTTGTTTATTTTAAATTGCTGCTATCGTCCAAGTCACTATGGTTGTACACTATCAACATACGTTAACTAGGTAATTAAGAACTAAACGAATAATATATTTAAGAAGATACACATACACACGTTGTAGACTTTATAGATTGAATAGAGAAAATACCTTTTTCTGGAAACCATGATCGCTTGCTGTTGTCTATAAACACGTGCAATAGTTTAATGTCGGTTGTTGCATCTGGATCTTTATCAGTAACACACTTTAACATTAACTGCATTGTATACAAATTTTAAAAAAAATCTGAATTGTAAGTTAGAGATTTTAAAAATGTTTTCAGGAGGTTGAGATAATATATTTGAAGAGAAGGTTTATGTATATTTCAAAATACTAGTTGGTTAATTTAATAAAATACTAATTCAGAATGTGTTTCAGCTGTCAATAAAAACAGAAATTCTTTTTGTCAGTGCTGTTCTTAGTATATTATTTATTAATTTTACAACTTGGAACGGCAAAGATCATGTGTATAATATTGCGTAATATCATTAGTACTTTATAACTTCATTTTTTATTTGACAGAAGAAAGACAAGTAAATTTTCTACTTATGTAAGACATTTCGTTTATCTCTCTGAAAAAAGTACTGAAGTTATAGGCTTTTAAATAAACAAAAGGAGAATAAGTTCCACTTCCAGCCATTTATCAGAAATCGCTAAAAAGTTGACACAAAACTACCTATTTTATATAATAATTATATATGAAATGTTGTAATGGTACCCATGTTATCGTGAATAGTGACAAACACACACATAGGCTACACTCACGGAAATAATATCAAAATTGTAAAAATATGTTTTTCTGACTGAGGGAGGTGTAAAACGTCTGTGAAAGTCTCGATTTCGATTTTCTGCATGCTAACAAAATTTCCTCTATACTTTAAAACTTGTTATTTAAACGTTTATTGTGTATGCAGTTTTCTTTTCAGTAATTCAAATGTTTAATAAAATAGAGTTGCATTACTAAAAACTATTACGCGCCGAATTTAACTTGACAATGTGTGTATCATAGTGATAATAATAATAGTTAGATAGCTTCTAATTTTAGAAATTGTTTATTAATTCATATAACATTATTAAACATGTGGAATTTAGTTAAATGTGACGACAGCTTGCATTATCTACAACACGGGTTCCCAACCTGGGGGTCGCGACCCCCCTGGGGGTAGCGAAGGTCTTTCTGGGGGGTCGCCAACTGGTATACTATACCTTAACCCTTTGAGCCCGCCAGGCCGGTAAACCGGCTTCAACATTAGGCATATATGTCCGAAAAGCCGGTTTTCCGGCCCGATGATCTAGCGTCATATTCCTAGCGGCCTGTATACCATCTAATTAAATATAATTAGCGGAATACTGACTAAAACTGCGCATATGTCTTTTTAGTGCGTGATTATGATTCTAAAAATAGATTTTAGGAAAAGTGAAAGTGTTTACATTTCGTAGCAATGCCGCTGATACGAAAAGTTGAGCCACGGCCATCGACATCAGCACATAAAGTTGGTGCAAAAGATGAAGCAAAAGACCGAAATATCAACAAAAGAAGTAGAATGACTGCATTTCAGGCAATACATCTACTTATTGATTCTGATGAAGAAGATAATATTCCTGGTCTATATTATGATGATAGTGACGTTGAATTTGAGACTGAACTCAGTGACATTGAAATTGACAGTGACAATTAAACTTTTCTAGTACGTTATGATGCACGTGGTGCCAATGACAAAGACTTGCCGAAACGAAAAAAAAACTGTTTACTGGAGTAAAACATGCGAAGTTTTTCTTTGCATCGGGTCCGGCAGTGATAACTGTTTTGAAAGTTATCACACAAAAGTGGACTTCTGTCTATGAACTAGTATGGCCAGGTATCAATAATAAAAAAACAATTATTAAATATAAATTTGTTTCTTCTATGTTCTATCAAAACAATAATTACGTGTTCGTTTTACATACATTTTTCTGTTCATACATTGTAAACAAATAAAGAATTTCAGAATCTTTCTGCTTTGATGTTTGATCCTGAGTCTGGATACAAAATTTTGTATGATTATCTCAAACGGTTCAAAAGTTATAGGCAAAGTTAGAAGCAGATAAGTGAAAATTGGTTTTTCCCTGGGAGCTCAGGTAATGGGAGAAACTAGGCAAGGGAGGCCAGGGCTCAAAGGGTTAGTAATTTGAAACAAAACATAAATATTTAGAAGCATTTTTTTTTAAAATTCGGCTTCATTAACATCACTGGAAGAAACAAAGCGCACTGTACAAAGTTGTTCTCAGTCACGAATCTATGAAATCTTCAAAACTAAAACGTCGTTTGAGACGAGTCATTCGGAACATACCAAAAAATACATGGAGTTCTTTCGTCGGTAAGAAGCTAGTTGCAAACGCCAGAGACTTGATCGAACAGGAAGTTTTCACCAGCATTAGTGCAAGCATCAAATGAAGTCGCGATAGAAAATGCCAAACAAAAAAAAAAAACAATAGGAGAAAATCTCATCAAACGCTGCATGTACGTAAATGTTAAATAACACATTTTTATTGAAATGAAGCTTTCACCGTTGTTTGCTTTTCAAGTTCGCAGTTGTTGGTCTGTGTCTATATTCATGCGGATGATAGCAAAGAAGAGTTGCTCTTTTGTGAAGATAGCATGGAGAAAATAAATACCTTTTTTTGAAACTGGATGATTAAAATGGGTTAGAACGGCTGTTGGGGTTAGTACGGATGGTGCGCCATCTATGTTTAGCTCAAAATCGGGCTTTCAGAAAACAGAAAAGATTTAGCTCCCTAACCACTGCCCTAACCAATCGACATCAAGAGTCCATTGCTAGTATAAGTCGTAAATTATATAAAATCTGGGGCCTTCAAAGAACTGAGCAAAAACAATATAGATCACGAGGTTCTGCTCTTCTACACTACAGTACGCTGGCTGTCAAACAAATTGTTGTAAATTGTGTTTTTGAATTGAAATCTGTAATCAGATTGTTCTTGGAAGTGCAAAGGAAACAAGACCTGTTGGTATACTTAAAACGACATAGAGTGGTTGAAGAGAGTATCATACCTAGCAGATGTGTTCGAACATCAAGATAAGCTTAACCTGAAGCTTCAGGGAAAATGAACGAATATTATAACTTTCCATGATAATCTCGGGGCATTTTTATCAAAGCTGCAAAATCAGTAAAGAAAATTAATCTTGGAAATATTGTAAATTTGAGAAACTGTGCGGTGTGGTAGATGAATCTGATTATGAGATAATTTTAAATTTTGAAAGAAGCGATTTCTGGGCATCTTGAATCTCTTCAAAACGAACAGCATCGCTATTTCTCTGAGCTGAAAAAAAGAAGAATCTGCATTTACGCATTACCCGTTCTCTTCTTCCCTCGATGTTGCCAGCATTCCCGATGAATTACAAGATGAATTCTTTGAATTGCAGAATGATTCCGAGTAAGATGAAAAACTGCAGACACACTTTTGGTGTAGTATTCACCATTCATACCCAAATGTAAAATTGATTGACATTTCGAGAATATATTTTCAACTCTATTCTTCTATTAAAAACAAAATTAAGATAATTACAATGACATAGGTTGGCGTTAACAATTTTTTTTTAAAAATTAAAAACTTAACCACGAAGGTTTAGTGAATAGTATGCAATTTTACTCATGTTATTAAAACAGTTATCAAAAGTTGTTCATATTGAAAGTCTACTAGAAAATATTTTAGTGCTTATTAATTTCCCTACTAATTTCGGCTTTTTAAATCTATGGGGGTCGCCACTCGAAAAAGGTTGGGAACCACTGATCTACAAGTCTTGACCCAAGTGCCAACTTTGAAAGGAATGTGTCAGTTAGAAGTGATCTATGACTACAGATAGACCAACGGACGACATATATATCTATAATAATAGTTTCGCTGTCTGTCAAGAACGCTCTGTCTGACAAGAACGCTCTGTCTGACAAGAACGCTCTAGAGAAAACACAAGCAAAATAAAAACATGCACAGTAATTCGAAAAACGAAATATGACGTCGACACATTTAGCGTAGAGTAGAACATAATCTCAAACCAGAGAGTGCACACAGTAATATGACGTCATTGATTATCGCGTAAACATTGAAAAAAAGGAAATGTTGTCTAATCTAAATGGTTTGCGTGAAGAGTTTCTTGCATACAATTCTTCGGGTAGGGGCGAAGCCCCACCCCCCGCGTAAGAACGTCTGAGCCCCCCCCCCCCCCCCTCCCCTACTCAAAAGAAATTTCCTCATCGATACTCTATAATAAAATTACAGCCTAATTAATGTGTCTAATCTAAAAAGTGGTTTTCTTGCAATGGGACGGTAGACATGTTTTTTTTTGGGGGGGTTGGGGGGGGGGGGGGGGGGGTGGAGGGGGGGGGGTGTGTAGGGGTGGGGAGGGGGGTGGGGGGTGGTGTGTGGGGGGGGTGGGTTGGTTTCAGTGTTTCTTTCAGACTTTTTCCTCCCCGGAGAGGGGTGGGGGGTACTTGAAATTTTCGGGGGCGGGGGTAGAATTTTCTGGGAGGGGGCGGACACTGGAAAAAGTATATAATTATATTTCGTTGAATGGGACGGTAGACATGTTTTTTTTGGGGGTGGGGGGTGGTGGAGGGGTGGGGGGGGTGGTGTGTGGTGTGTGGGGTGTGGGGTGGGGGGTGGGGGGGTGGGGGGGGGGATGGGGGGTGGGGGGTGGGGGGGGGGTGGTGGTGGGGGGTGGTGTGTGGGGGGGTGGGTTGGTTTCAGTGTTTCTTTCAGACTTTTTCCTCCCCGGAGAGGGGTGGGGGTACTTGAAATTTTCGGGGGCGGGGGTAGAATTTTCTGGGAGGGGGCGGACACTGGAAAAAGTATATAATTATATTTCGTTGAATGGGACGGTAGACATGTTTTTTTTTTGGGGGGGGTGGGGGGTGGGGGGGCGGTGTGTGGAGGGGGTGGTGTGTGGGGGTGAGGGGTGGGGGTGGGGGTGGTGTGTGGTGGGGGTTGGGGTGGGGGTGGTGTGTGGGGGTGGGGTGGGGGGTGGTGTGTGGGGGGGGTGGGTTGGTTTTAGTTTAGAGAAAAGAGACAGCACTATCAGCCTAGCGCCCGTTGTACCCTTCCTCAACGGGCCATTTTTCTCGTATATATATATATATATATATATATATATATATATATATATATATATATATATATATATATATATGTTTATATATAAATATATATATATATATATATATATATATATATATATATATATATATATATATATATATATATATATATATATATATATATATATATACATATATTTATATACATATATTTATATATAAGCAAGTGAAATAAAATCTTGTAATAACAGATGCATACCTTAAATTAAATCTGCAGGTTCCTATTAATGTAATAATCAAAAGCATCTTAAAAAATAAAAATATTAGTAATAAACCCTGAATAATGATTTAGGATAAAATATTACTGATATTATTTCTTCCACGTCCGGATGCTCAGTGTACTTTTCATTTTGCAACACGTGCAGTATGATACCAGCAGAGAGGTTTGAAAAAGTAGTCCATTCCTAAAACAAACGTGAATAAATATAACTGAAAACTAGTTCTTAGAATATTACATATTACACTATGAGTTATTTTTTTTTTCTAAGTGACTTGCATAATATGTCATTTACGAATACTTCACAATTGAATTATATTTAAAAAAAAAATAAAAATATGAACACGCATGCTCATTTAGTAGAATTCTGTAGTCACTAAATACCTTAAATGGAACAAGCGAGAACGATATCCTCTAGAGCCAAGATTAGTATACCCTTGTATTAAGTACAGTTATACAATCCAGATTACATGATATTTATCTTATATTTTAGTCTCTCTCTCTCTCTCTCTCTCTCTCTCTCTCTCTCTCTCTCTCTCTCTATATATATATATATATATATATATATATATATATATATATATATATATATATATATATATATATATCACTCTATGGAAAATGCCCTTTTTTAAAAGAAAGTTTGACCACTTGACCTTTGTCAAATATGCGGTTAGTCCACTTGTAGTTTTTATTAATAATTGCAAAGATCAATAATAGTTTTTTACTCTACTTAAAGACTTGTGAGTGGCCTAATTGAATTATTGCTTTACAAAAGAGAAAATAAATAAAGTAACAATTAATACTGTAATGAATTAATAATGTAGACTTACTTGTAACTACGAAGCACATATCAGAAAGCATATAATCAAATAAGTAGTACTTTTTATTATTAAATTAATAACAATGCCGCACCTTTACGCAACATTTGTATTCATCATCATCGTTTCTTTTTTGTGCCCAAGAAACATAAGACCGCCAAAATAGCTCCCTCGATTTTCGTCGGTCACCAGCAATTTTCCTCTCAGTCCCCCATGCCATTCCTACTTCTGCCAGCTGCTTCCCCGCTGTGTGCCCTAACTTCTCCCTTTGCTTTTCTTGCTTTCTTTTTTCTTAAGGTGTCTAGTTTACCACCATTCTTGTTTTTTCTTCTGAAAACGTGCCCCATCCATCGCCATTTTCGTTTTTTAATTTCTTTTTAAACTGCTTCCTTTTTCATCTCTCCTAGTAATTATTTGAGATAGTGTTAGGTGTTATCCTGTGCAAGCATTTAGTTTGTAAAGTATCCAGTGATCTGCTGGTGAAGTTTTTACTTTCTAACATTAGCTGTCATACAGTAGGACGTGAAAGACATTACCTCTGAAACGTCTGCATTTGGACTTGGAGGGGATGTTTTTTGCATGGTTACCAACTGGTGCAAAAGCCTTGCCGTGGCTTGGCAGCCTGTGTACCCTGACGACCCCCAGAGCTAGGCCAACGGGAGTGTCAACCCATGGCAGGTTCAACCAAGCTGGTCAGACAAAAGCTAGTATCCTGGTATTTCAGGTTGGGGGTTGAACATAAGGCTAGTAACCCTAACCCAGTAAAAGGGAAACAGTTCAAATAACGGATGTAGATGAAAACTGTGATAAAGAACTAGAATTCTGGAAAAACTAACGCTAGACACCAATACCGAGCCTATAACTTTTGCGTTAATGTTATTAATGATGTACATGTATGGTAAAGCACCTCTGATCAAACTCCCACAAAGGTCACATCACCATCGCTCAAAGTCTCTATGGTCATATCAACTGTACTCAAAGCTTGATGTAGCAAAAAAAGTGTAGGCGAACATATCGATACAAAAAACTATTCAAATATTATATTTTTATGTAAAATAAAATGAAGCTATGCTTAAAAATACACTACTTTTTTTTACCTTGTTTGAAGTATCCGATAACTGACGTAAACGCTGTATAAGTAAATCTACAACTCCTTGTTGTGCTACAGTCTGATTCGAGAAATTTATAATAATATTAGTAAATACATATATAACTAACGGTATAAAGAGACAAAATACCAACTGCACGTTATTATATACTTAAATTAATGCATAGCATATTAAAATTTACCTTTAGAAAATTTCTGCTGACGTTGCTAAACCATTTCAGTGTTTGAAGGATCGTGCATATAAATCCCGGTGCTTCAATGTGCAGCAATTGTTTCTCACGTACTACTTGAATTGTGATTTCTATTGAGTTCATATAATGTTAACATTTGTTATTGTTGGCGAACAAACAGATACATTTGACATACAACGAACAACCAACGTATAGTGACTTGTCAATCTCATATATATATATATATATATATATATATATATATATATATATATATATATATATATATATATATATATATATATATATATATATATATATATATATATATATATATATATATATATATATATATATATATATATATATATATATATATATATATATATATATATATATATATATACTAGGCATACTGCCTAGCTTCGCTTAGGTTTTCAAAAAAATTGAGGAATTGAATAATTAATTAATAGGTGATTGGCTGCTATCTTAAATGCTTAGGGCCTAAATCTATACAGTGGAGTAATTTTATTCTACACAAATATTGTTGGAATATTCGAAAACTTATTACTCTCACGGTTATTAGAACTGCAAGGGCTTTCTCAATAGTATCGATCAAATATTATAATAAATTACTTTCGCAATTAATTGTTACAATTTCAGTACTATGCAAAACTTAATTTATAACAAAATATTTATTTAAAACAATGCCATACTCTATGTTTTTTATTTTTTTCTTGAAAAGAGAATACAAAATATTTAAAAATTATTACATTAAAAAGTTACTTCCCCTGTTCATAGACCAAATGACCAAATCTCGTATAATGAGAATTTCACTCGCTGTCACTTTTTAGCCCTCGTTGAGGGTTTTGAGTGAAACCGACAGTTTTCCTTAAAGGTCAAGCCATTTACCTAAGAGCACGCAAAAAATTAGCCAGATGTAAAGACGGTAAGTGCCATCAAATCCGTTTTGAAATCACCCTCTGTTTTTTCCATAAAATACAAAGATTATATAGGGAAATACAACTGGTCAGTTTTGACCCCTTTACGAAGTTTTCCCAGATATGCCGAGTTTTTGTGACACCCCAAGGCGTTCTCCTACCACCTCACAAAATTTCAAGGGGGGTCGTTGGAGGAAATTTTTTTCGTAATATAGCCCATATAAGGCGCCGGTCAGTCGAGGTCAGTTTTGACCCCCTCCCCGTGGACTTTTCGACAAACCGTCACTGGCCCTCGTGTTCCATCGCCCCGAGGCACCATCGTGCCAATTTTGACGCGCCTGCGGCGCCGGGAAGTGCCCTATCGGGCACTTGACCACTTTGCTTTATATATATATATATATATATATATATATATATATATATATATATATATATATATATATATATATATATATATATATATATATATATATATATATATATATATATATATATATATATATATATATATATATATATATATATATATATATATGTATATACTATATATATATATATATATATATATATATATATATATATATATATATATATAAATATATATATATATATATATATATATATATATATATATATATATATATATATATATATATATATATATATATATATATATTTACATACAATATGGCTACAAGACCGTCACTGGCCCTCGTGTTCCATCGCCCCGAGGCACCATCGTGCCAATTTTGACGCGCCTGCGGCGCCGGGAAGTGCCCTGTCGGGCACTTGACCACTTTGCTTTATATATATATATATATATATATATATATATATATATATATATATATATATATATATATATATATATATATATATATATATATATATTTACATACAATATGGCTACAAGACATTACTGACCGGACAATTTCCCCAGGACATTTCTTCCCCGTATTTGCCCCGGATGCATTACCTCATGTCAATTTCCCCTCTGTCTATTACCCACTGAGGAATTATTCCCAACAACGCCCCCGCCCCCCACCCATCCACCAATATAGAATCCTGGTTCTTACTCTTACTCTATATCTATATATTACTGTGATGACGCAAGATTACGTCAGACATGTTTAGCAGATATAGGTTAGCAGAAACAGACTATATGCCTAGTTGGTTGGTTAGAGAGACCAATGGGCGCACAGGACTGACCGGTCACGTGGGACGGTCAGCTGACCACTGAGGCGTGGGGCAGTAGAGCGATAGGCCAGGACTTGTTAGGTAGCGGTAGAGACGGCCGAGAATGTAAATAGTTAGGAGATCATGATTAGCTAGCGAAGGTAGAAGGTGTTAGGTTGTAGAATGTAGAGAACAGTTAGTGTTAGGATTGGTCATGGGAGTGCGTAGTAGTAGGTAGCATGTGGTATGAACATTCAGTAGTAGAAGTAAATAGTACAGTGTAGATCAGTTAGGTAGAAACTTGAACATATATATCATTTTAATAAAGAACAATTATAGTTGAACTTGAACTGTGTGTTATTGGATTCATTCGTTCCGGCCTTTCTTAAAATCCCCACCCTCACAATTGGTGGAGCGCGGGTCGAGGACAGGAAAGACAGTACATATCGGGTTACTCATGACGGAGTACATCTGGTGTACAGCTTTCTTCAACTCAACACAACAGCGGGTTTCTTCAACCGGAACGAGTTTGGATTAACAACACAAGGAAACAGTCAACATGTCCAAAAAGATAAGTACCTTCCAAAATTTTTTTAAACGTTTGGGTTTAGACTTGTGCTGGATATTTGGTGCCAGCGGTTTTTCTGCCTCTTTCTTATCTGTTTCTTCAACCACACTACCCTTAAAAATGCCTCCATTGTACGAAGTGGGCACTAAAACTGAGCTTAAGTCAGGCCTAGAAGAGTCAGGTAGAATTGATAACTCGTTACTAGATTTAAATGTTCAGAATACAGTCAAAGTGAAAAGCAATTCAAGAACTATTGAGGATCCAGATATTCTGGATGAATTGATTATTAGGCTTGGACAATACACGACAACAGAAAATCGAGACTGGTTATTAACTGTTAAAGAATTTGACGCAAAAACTCTAGATGATCCAGATGCTATGGAAGATTTGATCAATAGAATTGTAGATTATAAGGTAACCGGAGATCCAGATTCCTTGTTGACTGAAGAAGAATATGATGCAAAGATAGATGCCGAGTTAGCAGAGAAACAAAGAGAAGCAGAAACATATATTGCCGGAATTAAAGAAGAAACAGAAAGAATTCGTAAAGAAAGAGAAAAACTGAGAGAACTTAGCCAAGCCAAACAAGAAATGGTGCAAAGTTTAGATACGAATAATAACAACCAGATAGCATATGCACCAACATATTACTATTCAGATGAATCATCCAGTGAAACAAGCGAGAGATTTTCTACAGAAAGCGATACAGCTCATTCAGTTCAATATAATACAAGAAACCACAACATACACAGGTACTACAGTCAACCAGAAGACTATCACAGTGTCAGATGCTACTATTGTAATAGAACAGGCCACAAACAAATAAATTGCAGAATACGATATTATGATAGACGCCAACAAGATGCACAACGCAACAGACCAAAATATAGACAGATTAATAGAATAGCATTTATGTCATCGTTTACAGAAGCCAGTAAAAGAACAGACACATTTACGTCAAAAATTAATAACAGATACGCCACAGCAATTAGGGATACACTATGCTCCACAGTGGCAGTACGTAACACATTCGTACAACATCACCAATTCACAGGCAGAACACAACGTGTACACAGTTCAAGAGGCAGCACATATGTTTGGCCAACAGCCATAGTCACCATAGCCACACCCTCAGCGTGTAAAACAGTTGAAGCAGCTGTTTCCAAAAACGGGCCATACGATATGATATTAGGCAACATTACAGGAGTGAAGCAATTTAATGTAGAATTTATGAGCCACAAGCAACAAATAAACAAGCAGCCCAGTATTCGAGACAGAGAACAAGTAGACACAAAAGTAGACGAATTGCAATTCAAAACGGACAAGTTGATAGAAAAAGTTAACGAGATTATTGAGGATCATTCTATGAAGATTACCGAGATTGGTGCAGATGTTCTTAACTTAAGACTTCAGAACGACAGAGTCAGTAATAGATTGCTGAGATTAGAGAAATCAGTAAGCAAGGAATCAGAGGAATATGTAACAAAGAATTTGATAGCAGACAGAGAGCACGGTTACTCCTGGTCAGCCTTAAACCAGATGACCCCATCAACACACCTACACAAACACAAGTATAGTAATCATAGATCATGTGAAAGCTCACAACACTACTGTCCACACCGAGCCCCGCCCCATCGGTCCTAGTGTGGTATATTAATGCCTGGATAGAATTTGACCCGGAACGCCCCCACTAATGATTTGAATAATGAACATAATGGTGAAGTCAAGTCGAGGTTTTTTCTGTTAATCTAAGTCGCCGAGAAATCGGCGTGAAGTCAAAGAAGTTATTCGAAGTCAGTCAAGTCAGCCAATAAGTTGTTGAAGTCATAGTTGAGGTCATAGTGACGTAGTTGAAGTCATGTTGAAGTCAAAGTAAAGTCTTTGAAGTCATATTGAAGTTGTTGAAGTCAAAGTGAAGTCTTTGAAGTCATATTGAAGTTGTTGAAGTCAAAGTGAAGTATTTGAAGTCATATTGAAGTTGTTGAAGTCAAAGTGAAGTATTTGAAGTCATATTGAAGTCGTTGAAGTCAAGGAAAAGTCATTGAAGTTAAAGTGAAGACGTTAAGTCGTCGAAGTTTAAGTCAGTCAGTGAAGTCTTTTAAGTTGAATTGAAGTGAAGTCGTCTAGGTCAAGTTAGTCGGCAAATGGAAGTAGTTGAAATCGTCGAAGTAAAGTTAATCGTGAATGGGAAATAAGTCGTAAATTGAAGTCAGTGAAGTTACTGAAGTCAGTTAAAGTGAAATAAGGCAAGCTACTGAAGTCATAAGTGAAGTCAGTCATTAAGTCAAGCCAGCCAGTTTTTGTCAGAAGTCACATAGTGAGAGCTGCTCCACTATATGATCACGTGTTGAAATGACACGATACACACTCACATGTCTATTCTTTTTGTGAAGCTATTTCTAAGCTCTAGTAGTGTTTACGTCTATTGAGTCTATTAGGCTTTACAGATTGTTGTTAGATTAGAGTGTACTGATTTTTTTATTTGGTTATTTTTGTAATGTTATATTTGTAATGTTATTTTCTTAATGTTGTTATGCCGCCAGACAAATGTTCAGCACGTTTAAATTTGGGATTGAGGTTTTTTTTAATGGAAGGTACCTCTGTCTGAATACTTGTCTCACGGGCACTAAGATAGTCACGTAAAGCCATTGCTCATGGTCTCGTAATACAATTTGCAGACCCACTACGCTTATTCAGAATGAGACGAGATGAAGCAGACACTTCAAAGAATGCCGCCACCTGAAGCCCTGATTACGTTGAATTACCAGGACAGCGGACAGACCTGCTGAACAGAGAATCGCCCTGGTCGAGACAGCGGACGCATCGCCACCGCTTCGCCCCCCGCACTGGAGTTGAATAACAGACCGCCAGCTACGTACACCTACGTCGGCACATACAAAGGGTAGACGACCCATCGTCCAAGTTCCCAGCGTCGGAACGTTACGTCATTGTTCGCCACCGCATCAGACAGCTCCAGTTCATCGTATAACCACTCTACGTGGACGTCTCAACCAGCGTTGAGTTTGTTGCGTCATCACATTGACCAACGAAAGTTACGCCTACACCCGCCTCACGGGAATTTACATCAAAACTCGCCACAACCCACCCACCACAGAGGAACGCCAGCAATTACATAACACTTACACATACACTTACACTGCTCGCAGAGCCCGTTCAACCAGTTACACATTACCACTAAGATTAGCTCAAGGCCAGTACACGGCAACCTAGCCAGAACTGAGTTACACATGATTGAATTCACGCATACCATGAAACATAGACATACATTATCAAGCAGAGACACCACAGACGTCAGGATACCTACACAAGAACTAGAACAATGACATTTTTTTCAAGAACAACAGACACGAGATTTTATGTTTTTGTAAACTGTGCTGTCCCATTTTTTATTTGATTTATATGATTGATGTTAGGGATAGAATAGAGCAGTAAGATAGATAGTTTGTTGATGTATTAGATTAGTAGCAGACGCTGAAAAATATAATTTGTCAGCTACAGAAAGGGAGGGAGATATGTGATGACGCAAGATTACGTCAGACATGTTTAGCAGATATAGGTTAGCAGAAACAGACTATATGCCTAGTTGGTTGGTTAGAGAGACCAATGGGCGCACAGGACAGACCGGTCACGTGGGACGGTCAGCTGACCACTGAGGCGTGGGGCAGTAGAGCGATAGGCCAGGACTTGTTAGGTAGCGGTAGAGACGGCCGAGAATGTAAATAGTTAGGAGATCATGATTAGCTAGCGAAGGTAGAAGGTGTTAGGTTGTAGAATGTAGAGAACAGTTAGTGTTAGGATTGGTCATGGGAGTGCGTAGTAGTAGGTAGCATGTGGTATGAACATTCAGTAGTAGAAGTAAATAGTACAGTGTAGATCAGTTAGGTAGAAACTTGAACATATATATCATTTTAATAAAGAACAATTATAGTTGAACTTGAACTGTGTGTTATTGGATCCATTCGTTCCGGCCTCTTCATAAAAATCCCCACCCGCACAACTGATACAACAAGAAGAACTACAAACTAAGATCCTTTCGTACCCTCACAATTACCATAATACTAAACTTTAGAAAAAGACACAAAACCTAAGAATTCACATCACCCTAAAATGAACCCAAAACCAAACCCAACTCTAGACATTGTTTTAAACCTAATCCTAACACTAACCCTATTCCTAACCCTAACCCTAACCCTAACCCTAACCCTAACCCTAACCCTAACCCTAACCCTAACCCTAACCCTAACCCTAACCCTAACCCTAACCCTAAACCTAAACCTAAACCTAACCCTAACCCTAACCCTAACCCTAACCCTAACCCTAACCCTAGCCCTAGCCCTAGCCCTAGCCCTAGCCCTAACCCTAACCCTAGCCCTAGCCCTAGCCCTAGCCCTAGCCCTAGCCCTAGCCCTAGCCCTAGCCCTAGCCCTAGCCCTAGCCTTAACCCTAACCCTAATCCTAGCCCCAAAACTAGACATAGACCCTACCCAAACTCAAACGCCAGCTCTTACCCTAGTTGAACCTTAAGTCCTACTGGGCGGGGGGTAATTGACAGGGGGGGGGGGAATTACTTGGGGATAATGACTTGTGGGGGGGGGGGGGGGGTAATGCCCTGTTCCCATACAATGTATACTATTAACTAATATATATTGTTTAATTATATATAGAGAAAGTATATATGTATATATATATATATATATATATATATATATATATATACATATATATATATATATATATATATATAGAGAGAGAGAGAGAGAGATTTAGATTTAAATTTAGATTTATAAATATATATACTTAATCATAAAGCATTAAATGCAAATTTAACAGCATACACATATGTATAATTATAAGAGTTAGATCAACGAGAAGTGTTACTATTTACTGTACGTGAATACATAAATAAACATATATATATATATATATATATATATATATGTGTGTGTGTGTATGTGTGTGTTGTGTAGAGAAAGAGAGATGAAAAAAGAGAGAGAAAGAGACCTGCACATTTTAACTCCGCCAGATAGTTTCCTATTAGTGTGCAGTCTTCACTAGATTTTGTTTTCATAATGTTGCACAGAACTTCAAAGCATTTCTGCTGCACATAGAACCCGAAGAGCGTTAATTCTTTTGTTTTCACAAATGTTGTCATCACATCTTTAATCAGTTGTCTAAGCTGCTCTATTGGTGTGTCCTTTAAATATAAAATTTTACAAAATGTCTTTTAGCAAGGATTATATTATACCTTTAAAAATGAATCTTACAATTGAGACATGCATGAAAAATCAACGTCATATTTGATAAACTGTTGTAAAATAAAGCTAATATTCAGCTTTTAAAAAAAAAATGCTATCTAAAATATGTGTGTTGGATTTTTTATCCTTTATACCTTTCACCTGATCTCCATGAAGCTCTTAGTAGCTGTTGAGAATTTTCATGGTAAGATATCTTCGAAAAAAAAAATTAATTTCCAGGGGTTGCGCCCTGGTAGGGCGCGATTTCATTTTTTTCTATATACGGTATATACAAATTAAAGTCGATTGCGGTTTGACACAGTTTATCCATTCTCTATGAAACTTTGGGGAGTTGATGTTAACGCTCCAGTGCAATGAAACTTTGAGGATATGATGGGAATACTCCTGGGGAGGTTTTTGAGAAAAAAGTCATTTCAATTTTGCACTGGCGGCATCCTTGCAGGGTGCAATTCGGCGCACATAAGAGCTATGGCGCCCACATTAGTTTTATACAGTGCGATAGAATATTGATACAATAATTCATTTTGCTGGTTAAGTAAATTGAAAGAGGCGCGTCCACTGGCATCCCGACAGTGTTTTGATTTAGCACACTGTGCCATCCATTTAGCAGTATGTCGTCTACATTAGGAGCTTTCTACATTATTAACACAATTTGGCACACATTTGATGCTTAAACCTAGCCAGGGACCGTACACAACGCCCATACGATAATGAAATCGGGGGCTCCTGGGAGTGCCTCTCTACACACCTGACACCTGGACGATCGCCGAAGTGTGTTCCATCTCACTATTACGGTGAGTGATTAAAGTACACTTAAGACTTTCATATAGTACTACAAGGAGCGTGCTGGGCGGTAATGTAGGTGAACCCGTGTCCCGATAATTATGATCCAAGAGCATTCATATTCTACATTTAAATAACTCAGTTTTAGAAAACATGGTAACACGTCTAGGAGTATAGGATTGGGAACGCATTGATGAAAACCTCCTAGTATATTTCTTCAGGCGTTCTTCTAACCCCGCGGCAACAAACTAGGATGGACACGCTAGTTAAATATAATAATGTAACGTAATAAATGCATAGCTTGCACATCTGAATAAAATGTCAAAGTGTTTCTGGTAAATACAACATTTACAATTAGCTTTAACAACTTAGAGAAAGTTTAATATTTTCTTCTTTTGTTGTAGCTAATAAAACATAAATACAACACAAATCAATAAAGTCTTGTTATTTCCCGTTCACAACTCGATAATAACGTAATCTGTTGGTTAATCTGTAATCAACTATGATTTATCTATTTTGCCAGCAAAGTAATGAATATTTGAAATGTTGCTATTATCATACTACTTTCTTGTTTTTAAGGCAACCAGAGCCAATAGAGGCTGTTTTATACTATTCCAAGTTTTATTAACTTGATGTTTTCTAAAAGTATAAAAAAATTTACAATTTTATCTTTTGAATTGGATGGCCGTGTCAACATTTTATCGAGAGCAAATGCTATTCTACTACTCTTTCTATTTTTAATAGATATTTTTACTTCCACATATTGTCTTACTTTTTTTATATAGTAGACATATATTTTCCTAGTATGTTTTGTTTGATAAATTATATCAGATATCCATTACGATTTGTGTTGTCATGTAACCAAACATTTTTCATCTTTAAAAAAATAATGAAAGTTGATTTTTCTGTTTTCTGTACTTACAGGTCCTGCTTGCTTTTCCTTTAAAATCCTGTGAAAAGTTACAAATTAATGTTTTACATTACCATAAAATATACATAAAAATATGAATCTATTACACATGCGCAGGTGCAAGTAAGGTTTTCTGATATTAGAAATTATTAAAACATACGTCATGGCTCTGTGTAGGCTATTCAATTATAAGGTAAGAAATTCAGTGCTGCAATAACGATAACCATATTTTTACACATCAAAATCCCTACGCTTGTTTTAAATTGAGAACCTTAAGTAATCCAGATCTTGACACACTTTGATCGTTCACTGTCTAATGTACAATTTATTTTGATCTAATAATACAGATTGAGTCACAGATTAAAAAAAAAAGTTATCCGTGTCCGAGATATAATATTTTCAATTTCTATTTTTTTTTCTCTATTGTTCTCATTTTTTCCTATAAGTTCTTATAATTATTTTTGAATTTTTGTCTTCCTAACAGAAAAAGTACTCAAGTTATAGTTCTTACTTGGAAAAAAGTACTATTTCCTGTTCCCGGACATCGGTCAAAATTTAATAAAAACAGATGCATTTATATGGACAAAATTTGTTACACTTAAGTGATACATTACTATAGTTATTGGTTTTTGTAAATTGGAAGTAGTGTCAGTACATTTTTAAAGTGCTTGAATTAGATCTATTGCTTACAACTGCAGCAATAACTTGATATTTTGTAAGGGTATAGCTCTCACGCTGTAGCAGATTCTCAAAGTTATAATAATAAGTGGATGAAAACGGGCATTGCTTGACCGCTATATTTTACTTATTAAAAGTACATAATTACGCCAAGAAATTCAAACTTTTAATTATTTGACTAAACAGAAAAACAAATGAATAAAATAATAGGCCTACGAAAACTCGTCATTAGTGCGCTTGGTGCGTATTTTCAGAGACACCAATCTATTGCCTTCCCAATAGAGCATTGCAAAGCTGCTATTAATACCGATTCTGAACAGTTGAAGATTGTATTTAATACAAAGCTTCATTGAGAAAACTCAAAGAGAAATGCAAACATTTTTGATCTTAGGTCACTGGTGGTTGAATATATAGAAATAGCAGTTGTTTAGATAGCAGTTGTTTAAAGAAATAAAAAATAGTAATATTAAATAATAGAATGATAGATATTTTGTTTTAATTCGTTAAACTACAATTCTCTAAATCTATCTACATATATATAAAGCAATGTATGTGTGTGTGTCTGTGTGTCTGTGTGTGTGTGTGTCTTTTATGCATTACCACACCTCTTATCACATCGCCGTCGAACTTTGGGAAGTTGTTAAGAATATTCCTGGGGAGGTTTCTGCAGAAAAAAAAAATTCAAATTCGCAGGGGTGGCGCCCCGGCAGGGCGCGATTTGTTTTTTCTCTATATACGGTATATAAGAGAATAAAAGTAATTCTTGATTAGGCATCTTTCATCCGATAGCAATGAGACTTTGTGGAGTTCATTATATAACTCTAGGGAAGGATTCCGTAAAAAAAATAATTTTTAATTTCGCAAGGGCGGCGCTACGGGAGGGTCCGATTTTTCTCAATGTACGGTATATAAAAATAAACGTCGATTGCGATTTCACGGCGTTCATCCGATAGCCATGAAACTTTGGGGAGTTAATTATAACACTCTAGGGAAGGGTTCTGTAAACAAATAATTTTTAATTTCGCAAGGGCGGCGCCACGGGAGGGTGCGATTTTTCTCTATATACGGTATATAAAAATAAAAGTCGATTTTGGTTTGGTACGATTTTCTCTGTATATGGTATATAATAAATGTCGATTGCGGTTTCACGGCGTTCATCCGATCGTCATCAAACTTTGGGGAGTTGATTAGAACACTCCAGGTAGGTTTCTGTAAAATAATTCATCTTTTAATTTCGCAAGGGCGGCGCCAGGGGAGGGTGCGATTTTTTCTCTATATACGGTTTATAAAAATATAAGTCTATTTCGGTTTCACACCGTTCATCCGTGTACCATGAAACTTTGGGGAGATGATAAGATCACTCAAAGGTAGGGTTCTGCAAAAAAAAAATTAATATTGCAAGGGCGGTGCCCCAGGGGAGAGCGATTTTTTCTCTATACACGGTATATAAAAAATAAAACTCGGATGCGGTTCATCCGAGTGCCATGAAACTTTAAGGAGTAGATGAGAATACTCCCGAGAATATTTCTGCGAAAAAGGAAACTAAAGTTTCTTATGGGCGGCGCCATGTAGGGTACAATTTTCGTCAATACACGGTTTGGCGCCCAAATTTTTAGAGCCACTATGTTGGCACTTGGCATCCGTTAATCGAGCGTCCTGCATAGCGAGTAAGGGGTACTACTATATTCAGCGGTAAAGCTACAACAGGCTTCTAAAAATAACTTTGTAACGCGAGGAAATCCTTCTGTACAGTTTCGTCAATAAGCATCTATTATTAGACGATCCAGTCAGAAATTTAGATCGAGCATCTAATAATAGACCATTAGTAACGCTACCATATTGCATCAGTCACACTGATGTTTAAAACACGTCAAATAATTATTACGTGTTAAAGAAAAAAATCCTGTTCATTTGTGTCAGTTCAGCGAATGACGAAATGTGCATCATTGTTTACAGAATGCTATTTGGTACTCTGGGTTATCCTATGAGCACGATGGCGCCTGATAGTTTTAAGGAGCCAGGGGCCGTACGCTGCGCCTATGCGATAGTGTAATTGGGGGGGGGGGTTCCTGAGAGTGCCCCTCTACGTCTCTGACACATGGGTGGTTACCGAAGTGTGTTCTACCTCATTATTTCGGTGAGTGATTAATGTACACATAAGGTTTTCACGCGGTAGTGTAGGTAAACCCGTGTCCCGATATTTATGATCCAAGCGCAGGCATTGTTTTCATTTAAATAAATAACTTTTAGAAAAAAAAGGTCATGAGTTTAAGAATATAGGATTGGTAACGCATGGATGAATCCCTTCTTATATATTTCATCGGACTTTCTTCTATTCCCGCGGCAACGCGCGGGGACGGGTACGCTAGTGTCAAATAAGAAATACGCTATAATATATTTGTAAAAGAAATATGGTTAATAAAATGTAGCATCTGTCTCTAAAACGTCGCGATTCCAGCTGCATGTTAAAAAATCCATATTTTGTTGGGGCTGCTACGCCAAAACAAAGAAAAACAACAATATATAACTTTACACAATGGGGTTTGGAGGAGGTGGTTAACCTTTGAGAACCAATAAACATTTTTGTTCCAAAATTTAAAATTAATGCCAAGCAACATTGAAATAACTTAAAGCTGTTGAATTTTCTAGAAAAGAAATATTACATGATGGACTTAAAATATTAATATAAATATGGCTGCTTCAATACATAAGAGTTTGCTGTGTTGTCATGTTTATGGGAACTTTCCATTTCCGACCACTTACAAAGCTACAGTTCACACTAATATAAAACATACTAAGTGTAACAGAGATAAATTACTAATGGTTATCGAAGGTTTATTATTAGTCTATTACATTTGAATTTGTTTTTGCTTATAGTTTTGCTTGTTTATTTTTTATTTTTTTTTTTTTATTTTACTAGAGACATGTATGTTCCTACAGTTCTGAAGGGAGGTAACTTTTTATAGATGTGGTGAAGCAAGTTTTAGCTGTAGAATCAACATAGTCGCAGAGTTTTTATTTACTATCACAGAATACTATTGAGCAAATACTGTTTTAAGACAATACTGACGGTGAAAACAACTGCTTTCTTGATGAATATGATGTGAATTTTTCTTGAGAAAAAAAAATTCAAGTCCTAGCACAAATTGTCACCACTGTGATAAGACCTACATCTTATTCTGCATACATCGCATACATTGTCATTATCACCTCCTTTCGTGACTAATATCTCCTCTAATCTAAATGGCCGCGCAGTATTTTTGTACATGCCTCACATTCATTTCGTAAAATACATGTAACTTTGTAACTAAGCACTATAGACTTTTCCCCTATGCGTTGATAGTTAATATTGACAACTACCCCTCGGACATGCTCCCCTCCCATCCGATATTACCACCCCAGAGCAATTACTCCTCTTCGAGTTAGGGAAAAGTTAGGACGAGCGTTAGATTGGGGCTAGGGTTAGGGCTAGCGTTAGAGCTAAATGTAGGTTTAGAGTTGAAATTAGCATTGGTGTTAAGGTTTGCTAAGTGTTGGAGTTTGGGGTTTGGGTCAGGTTTCTTCGGCATTAGTGAGGGGGAAATTGACGAGGATAATGTCCCAGACCGCCTGATTAACTAGCCTCTGTCAATTACCCCACCTCCCAAGACCTTAGCCCGCCCCAAAAACTGCAGTGGGACATTACCTAACACCTGATAATTACATATATGTAAGGGTAACTGTAATCCATTGGCAATAGTAACCGCAATGATAATGGTGCTGGTAATGAAAATATTTTTAAAAATAGGGAAGCGTGAAGGTTAAGGATAAGCATTCTATGTTGGTTAAGAAACATCGCTAGGCATCGGCAGATGTCTATGAGGAAAGGCAGTGATAGGTAATTCTAAAAAAGGTATTGTGCAATGGGGTATTACGCTGTATGGTAATTGATAGGAGGTTAATGACTGGGCGGGGTAATGTTAGGTAACTTTCTAGACCCGGGTAAAATATGTCACATTTTGTTGGAAAATTACGTTTACTTTTACTTATTTGTTTATTTAATTATACTTTAAGATAGCTTTTAGTAGTTTGAGCGATTCTATGTAGTTATTTAGATTAATTTATCGGTACTGGTGGCTTTTATTTTATTAGAAGTCGGGTACGTAGAGGGAAATTAAGTAACTATTGGTTTTCTGTTCATTGATGATTTATTATAATTGTATAACAAATATTGATAGTGATAAATAGAAGGTGCGGTGCAAGTATTTTTTTTTCCAAAATCACGTCAAAGTTTACGCGTTGCTTTTTACTTTCTCGTATATACGTAGTATAGAGAAAGTATTGTAATCGTGCAAAAAAAAAAATCGAGATTTTTACAAATCTCGACGTTTTACACCTCACTGATACGGAAAAACATAATTTTGCAATCTTGTCCGTATGTCTGTGTGTGTGTGTGTCTGTCCGTGTGTGTGTCTGTCCGTGTGTAAACACGATAACTTGAGTACCGTTACAGCTAGGTTGATGAAATTTCATATATAAGTATTTTATCAAAATCGTAGATCCGTATCAACATTTGAGCGATTTCCGATAACCGGAAGTGGTACTTTTCCTACTTTGAATTTTTTAAAAGCCTATAACTTGAGTACTATTTCAGATAGATAAATGAAATTTCACATGTAAGTAAAAGATCTAATTCTCTACCTTCTGTTAAATTTTGAGTAATTTCCGTTGACAGGAAGTAGTAATTTACGCTACTTCCGATTTCTCAAAAAACTAATGTAAATTTTAAAAGTACTAATAATATTGCGCACTATTATGCGCTTTTTTATTTCGCGTTCACTTGGTGTGCAATTAATTTGTCTACGAGATTTTAATCTATTTTTAAAACTTTAAGTATTTAAAATGGATTAAAAATCATGTCTATGGCCCGAGTTCCCATCCCCTGTTATTTTATATAAAAATATTCGAGAAAGTTTAGGGGAGATCACTACCGGTTTATTTGAGGTTGGCTTTATTCTCTGCTCTTTATCTTTTCATTAAATATTTTATAAACAAACAAACATATCTGCAGTAAAATTACAAGTAAGTAACGGCTATAAATGTCTGAAGCTAGGCCTAGCCGATAACGGCTGGTGTTATATAAATTAATCATTGTAGGTGTTTAAAGTTGTTTTAATTATCGACATTCATACTTTACCTTATTATCTTATTAAACTGAACTGTTCTAGAAGTTGAGAACGTATTTGGCCATTTCCCTGAAGATATAAAAATACACTGTTTTGAAAAGTTAAAGTAGAACAATGTAGACTGATTATAAGTTAGATATTTAAATAAACTTGAACCCGATTTCCAACTCGAAATTATCGGGCTAGCAGCTTCAATAGTTAAATATGCCTATTATTTACTAAAAGTAGAGAATACAGTTTTCAGCTGATAGTCTAAGCTTAGTTTGTATTCAGTTCATATTGTGATATATAAGCTTTTTTGCATCTTTGTAAAACCGGTAAAAGTGTGTCTAAATATTAAATTGTACAACGCTTTTATAGATTCATTGAACGCCTGTGACATGTTTTGTGTTTTTAAATTAAACCACGAGAACAATATGCGCAATGAATGCACCGGTTTTTTACTAATAAATATAATTTACATTAATTAAGTATTATTTCACCTAAGCATGCGGAGAAATTAACTATTTAACTATAGTAGTAGTGCTGTTAAATTACAATGATTAATTAAAATTAGAAAAACAAAATGTCTAAAAGTGTTATTATAAAAGTGAATATTAATTATGCTCTTAGTTTTAAAATTTTTGTGTTGATATAAACAATGGAAAGAGAAAAGAGGCTTTTTGGCTATGAGTTCAAACAAGTATCTAAAATTTTAGTAAAAGTTTTTGTCAAAACATTCTACTTCTACTTTCTATTAAGCTGCGATAGTAAACCATCACTGACTGTCCGATTGTTTTAGGACTCGCTAGCTTTTTCTTATCTTTTACATTTTGTTCTAAATAAATCTTTAAAGTTTAGTGTCAACTCCGACTTTTACCTGATTTTGTTTTTGATTTGCTTCCATTGTATTCCATAGTATGTGCAAACACATAAATAATATGTAAGTGAGTGGATGATTCGAACTCAGGACTTTAATGTTCTTATGATATACACTACCATATAAATAATACGTACATTGCGCTGCCTACAAAACCTAAGAAAATTACAAAAAAATAATACATACCGCTAAAAAGCACTTCATTGTAAAGTAATTGTAAACAAATATCCACATTTTTATAACATTTGATTTTTTCCACGTCAATTAGTGCAGCGAATGTCTTGATCGAGATTGGGTTCATTCTGACACATAGTTCGAATGCACTTCTCCCATTAGTATCAGTCTGTTTGATATTAAAATCTAGTGTCAGTAAAAATTCGACAGTTTGTGTATGTCCCATAAAACTTGCTTCCATTAAAGCATTTCTTTGAAATTTATTGACCCAATTAATATCAGCGCCTTTCTCAATAAGAAATTTCACAATTTTTGTGTGACCGCCCTTTGCAGCTTTTATTAAAGTGTTGTATCCATTATTATCTACTTCTGTCATACTTGCTTTATGTTGTAAAAGTAATTCAACAGTACTGAGGTGTCCAGCTTCACAAGCCAATAATATCGCACTATTTCCATGGATATCCGACTGTTGGATATTAAAATCTAGTGTCAGTAAAAATTTGACAGTTTGTGTATGTCCCTTAAAACTTGCTTCCATTAAAACATTTCTTTGAAATTGATTGACCCAATTAATATCAGCGCCTTTCTCAATAAGAAATTTAACAAAATCTGTGTGACCTCCCCATGCAGCTTGTAGTAAAGCGTTATATCCTTGATTATTTACTTCACTCAGACTTGCTTTATGTTGTAAAAGTAATTCAACAGTACTGAGGTGTCCAGCTTCACAAGCCAATAATATCGCACTATTTCCATGGATATCCGACTGTTGGATATTAAAATCTAGTGTCAGTAAAAATTTGACAGTTTGTGTATGTCCCTTAAAACTTGCTTCCATTAAAACATTTCTTTGAAATTGATTGACCCAATTAATATCAGCGCCTTTCTCAATAAGAAATTTAACAAAATCTGTGTGACCTCCCCATGCAGCTTGTAGTAAAGCGTTATATCCTTGATTATTTACTTCACTCAGACTTGCTTTATGTTGTAAAAGTAATTCAACAGTACTGAGGTGTCCTGCTTCACAGGCAAGCAATAACGCTGTGTCACCATACACAGCTTTTTGTTCAATATTAAAATCTCGCGTCAGTAAAAATTTGACAGTTTGTGCATGTCCCTTAAAACTTGCTTCCATTAATGCATTTCTTTGAAATTTATTGACCCAATTAATATCAGCGCCTTTCTCAATAAGAAATGTAACAATTTCTGTGTGACCTTTCCATGCAGCTTGTAGTAAAGCGTTAAATCCATTATTATCTACTTCTGTTATACTTGCTTTATGTTGTAAAAGTAATTCAACAGTACTGAGGTGTCCACCTTCACAAGACAATAATAACGCACTTTTTCCTTTATTATCCGTCTGTTTGATATTAAAATCTCGTGTCAGTAAAAATTCGACAGTTTGTGTATGTCCCATAAAACTTGCTTCCATTAAAGCATTTCTTTGAAATTGATTGACCCAATTAATATCAGCGCCTTTCTCAATAAGAAATTTCAAAATTTCTGTGTGACCGCCGCATGCAGCTTTTAGTAAAGCGTTATATCCTTGATTATTTACTTCACTCAGACTTGCTTTATGTTGTAAAAGTAATTCAACAGTACTGAGGTGTCCTGCTTCACAGGCAAGCAATAACGCTGTGTCACCATACACAGCTTTTTGTTCAATATTAAAATCTAGTGTCAGTAAAAATTTGACAGTTTGTGTATGTCCCTTAAAACTTGCTTCCATTAAAGCATTTCTTTGAAATTTATTGACCCAATTAATATCAGCGCCTTTCTCAATAAGAAATGTAACAATTTCTGTGTGACCGCCGCATGCAGCTATTAGTAAAGCGTTGTATTCTTCGTTATCTACTTCAGTCATACTTGCTTTATGTTGTAAAAGTAATTCAACAGTACTGAGGTGTCCAGCTTCGCAAGCCAATATTAACGCACTATTTCCATTATTATCCGTCTGTTTGATATTAAAATCTTGAGTCAGCAAATATTCGTCAATATTTGTTTGACTCATAGCACGTGCTTCCATTAATGCATTCCTTTTAAATGTATTGATATAATTACTATCAGCGCCTTTCTCAATTAGAAATTTAACAATTTCTATGTGACCTTTTCTAGCAGTATGTAGTACAGTGGTATATCCATTATTATCTACTTCATTCAGACTTGCTTTATGTAGTAAAAGTAATTGAACAGTTCCTACTAACAGTGACAGTTTAACTAACTTTTTTTCATTATTAACAATCTGTGTGATATTAATTTCTTAAATTTAAGAATTAATAGAGAGTTTCCCATGATCTTTTTAAGCACGTCTAATCTGAAAAGGGAAAAATTAGTTTATATAAATATAATTATAACATATTGTTTTATAATATTTCTATGTTTTCTTTTACTATTTTATATTAATAACAGCGTATTGATATATATATATATATATATATATATATATATATATATATATATATATATATATATATATATATATATATATATATATACATATATATATATATACATATATATATATGTATATATATATATATATATATATATATATATATATATATATATATATATATATATATGTATATATATATATATATATATATATATATATATATATATATATATATATATATATATATATATATATATATATATATATATATATATATACATATATGGACAATAATGCTACAATGAAACATGATTACCATTTTTAAAATTAATTTCCAGATCACATTTAATCCTTTAATACCCTCAAAAGCATTTGGAACTGATTTGTTATGAGAGATTATAAAAATCTAACCATGTTTCTCAACCTCTCCCCCTTCTTGCTACCCCTCAGGTAACGGAACACACCTGGACCTGAGTCCATTGTATGTTTCCGAATGAATGTGTAGATCACTAAGATGTTAAGGCGTTTGTAAATTATATTTTACAAAATGCCAACATAGGGCTATAAGACTATTAGCAGATTCTGAGGTTCAAGAATGGAACATGTGGGACCACGTCGCCCTGACAACCAGTCGCTCATCACCCCTGCTGTCATTAAATTTAGTATCACTGTCCTCATTTTCCTAATTATTGCTATTATAGTAAACTATTCAATTGTAGTTGTTAAATGATGTATAGTCAACTATAACTTAAATAAAACATCAATAAATAATAAATCTCACATAAAAATATTTTAAGGCTTTATTTTATTCACAAATCACACACACAAACAAACACACAATAACACACGAAAAACAAATGTTTTAAAATAAAATAAAATTGAGATTGGGTGTAACTGTACTAAAACTATATGCTGATATGGCTAAAATTAAAAGCCAGGGTGCTCACTTGAAGAAATAAATATTACCTTTTCGATGGAGTCCATTGATAGGTGTACGTTCTATAATATAAGACCTATGTTCGATTTCTATCATTGAGAGCCCACACACATTTTAATTTTTTATTTAATTTTTGTTCCACTTTTAAGTCAAACTTCAGGCTAAGAGTAAAATTGATTGCGTTAAAATCCGTACAGCGACTTGTGATATCTAAAATTGAGTTGTCTGCCCTAACAAATAGTGGTCTACAAAATTAGCCAACCGTGAACTAAAGAGTTTAGCATCGACGGTCCTCTGATCAATCTATTTGCTGGTATTTAAAAAAAAATCTGGTTATCTCTCTTTTTTAATTAAAATTAGTCATTTTTAAACTAAATTTGTAAAACTAATTGTCTGTCTAAATAGATAAAAATGTAATCAGAGATCTAACAATGTGGACAATTTTAGCTCATTGGGACATTGGGTTAAATTTAAATTCCAATATTTACGGAGCCACACAAACGCAAAGATACTGGGCATGCTAATCAGAGCCGGCGCTAGGGGTGCGCGGGGCCTATGGCCAACCATCCGCGCGGGGCCTTATATTTTTTCCATTGGTGTCTAAAACATGTACAGTGAGGCGTTTTTTTTTTCTTCTCAACGCGAATTAATATTTATAACGATATATATGGTATTTTTAAGCTGTTTGTCAATGTCGTATTAGCATTAAGACACTGATTAACAAATAATGTGTTTACTTAGAAGTGCTTTTGAAACGTTGCTTGTTTCTGTTAAGGCTTTTTGTTTGAAAAGTAAAAAATAAAACAGATATAAGTTTGAGACACGCATTAAAGAGACGATGAACGTCAGCTTCAAACCTGATTTTTTTAACATTAATGTTTATTTATGAAAATCTTACCAGTACGTTCACAAACGAAGATCTACTTTTCTTGCCTTTCGTGAGGAAAATTCCATGATTATATCATCATAGTCCAAACTGGAGGCTATGTCTTTTTCTATTGACAGAATCGACAGGCCGCAGAGCCTGTCTTGGGACATCGTTGATCTCAAATAGTTCTTGATCAACTTCAGTTTGGAGAAACTTCTTTCGGCGCTTGCAACTGTGACTGGGACTGTTAGCAAGATTCTGTAGGCGATCGCCGTATTGGGAAAGGAATCCCGAATACTCCAAATGTACTGAAGGCACTGTTTGGCTGACTTAATACCTTCGGGCAAAATTTCTCGAAACATTGTGAGCTCTGTACACAAATCTGCCCCGTTTAAGTCACGTGAGCTCACCGATCGCAACGCTATATCAAGATTCATGCAACTTTTTAACAAATCCTCATTATTTAATTTTCTCATTGTGTTTATGTTGTAGAGAAACCCAAAGAGTGAATCGTATTGTCGTATCTGTTCAAATCTAGTGTTCATGCCAATAATTGCTTGATCCATTATACACAAGAAATACTCTGTTCTAAACTCATCTTCACCCGATAACGTGCTTTCATCTGTACTCTCATATTCAAATTGTCTTTTTCTTTTTCTGCTTCTTTTCTGTTTAAATACTTGATCCACATCCATTGCTTTGGCAATTTCTTTTGCAGTAATCATGGCAGAATTAAAACCATTTTCCCGATAATTTGTCAAGTAGGTGACGAGTCCTTTAATTTGCTGTATTGCTACATCAAGCTGCATATCGGCTGATTGTAGCGATTTACTCACAGTATTAACTGCGAATAGGATGTCATACCAAATGATCACAGCAAGGATGAATTCAAAATTTCCTACCTCAAAATTAGCAAGTGATTCTGCTTCGGCTTTTACCATAGGGTCCTTGGACTCATCTGATACAGTGAAAAGGGCTTCCTTTATTTCGCTTATTTGGTAGCGCAAAGCTTTTACACTCTCTATACGGCATTCCCATCTTGTGTCTGACAGTGATTTTACTGTGATGTAAGGCACAGCTTCTTCCAAAATCTTCCATCTTGCAGGTGAACCGGCAAATATCACATAGATTCTTTGCAGAACACCAAAAAATGTCACTGCTTTAGAGCTGATCTTCGCCATATCTCCCAACACAAGATTAAGACTATGGCAGCCGCAGGGTGTGAAAAATGCGCGACTATTCTTGCGAAGAATATGGGCTTGCACTCCTTGTTGTTTTCCTTTCATATTAGCCCCATTATCGTATCCCTGTCCTCGACAGTCATCAATATCCAAGCCTAATTTCTCGAGTGCAACTAGCAGTAACTCTGACAATCCTTTGCCTGTTGTGTTTTCAGCAATAAAAAATTCCATGAAATGTTCCACAACTTTTAAGTCACAATCTGAAGCATCCACAAAGCGCACAATCAGCGATAGCTGTTCTTTGTGACTGACGTCAGGAGTGCAATCAAGTATTATTGAGAAATATTTTGCAATTTTCAGTTTAGCGATAATTATCTTCTTCACTTCAGATGCCATCAATTCTATGAATTCATTTTGGATTTGATGTCCTAGGTAATGATCATGTGTTTCTCCATCTTTAATACGACGAACGTGCTCTTGGATGGTTGGATCAAATTTTGCAAGCATCTCAATCAATCCTAAGAATTTACCATTATGTGGTTGGTAGAGCTTTTCAGTTTTTCCACGAAACGCACTGTTATTTTCAGCAAGATACTGCACGACAGCCAGGATTCTTGTCAGGACAGCCCGCCAATGACGTTTTTCTTTATTTATTTGATCTAGCATCTTACTGTCTATGCCTGTATTTCTGGACATCCGCTTTAGTGATTCTAGCCATGCTTTCATGTTGTTAATATGTTCTGCAGAAAGCTCATGTTTTTCCAGTTTTTGTCCAAGATGTCTCCAGTCATTACAACCCCCGTTTGACAATTTTCCCGCGGAAGATTTTCCATACAGCTTGCAACAAAAACAAAATGCTGCATCTTTTATTTGAGAATAAACCAACCATCGCCTACCTACACATTCTTTGTTTGGCATCTTCCGAATATAAAAATTCCTTGAAAAGTGTCTCTTTTCCATATCTATTGGATAATCATGGTCGTCAGGTAATCTGATCGGACCTTTCTCCAACAGCAAACTCCGAAGGGCATTAGACATATGTTCCCAATTACCCGGATCGTATATATCCTTTACGATCATTGGGAATGAATTATCTTCGCCAGAATCATTTTCAGAAAGGCCGCTTGATTTGTCCCTATTGTCAAAATTCGGGGGGTTTGCAGCTGACAATAAATGACGCGAGGATTCATTATTACCGTCATCACCACAAATGGTAGTACTCTCATTGTAGTCCTTTTTGTTACGTTCCACATTTGCGACATTGGAATCCACAACCAAATCAACATTTTTTTGTTGTTTACCAACTTTCTTTGGATAGCGTATGTACTTGTCCAACGCGCCTGCTTGTGTTTTATCAAATTCTTCTCTTAAATTGCGTTTCCTCGCTTTTGATGCACCTGATTCATACTTGCGAAATCTATCTCTGTCTCTTGTAGCCATGGTGTAGAGGAAAAATTGTGAAATCACTTTGAAGCAACGTTAAATTGTTCCACAGTGGCGGGTGATAGTATCGATATTTTCTCAATTTATCGAGTGTTAACAGTGGCATTCAAAGTGTGTGGATGCCGGGGAAAATAGCAAAACATTGATAGATTTCGGAATAAGCTCGAATCGTGAAAAACACTGTTTACGGCTATAGATATCCAAATGAAATGACTTTCAAATGTAATCACGGACGCTCAGTAAGGTGGAACACTGGGGGGGGGGGGGGGGGGGGTGACAGTCGGTGGGGTTAGGTGAAGGATAACTGTACATTTAAATCTATGGGATGCCAAACCCTAAAAAAATCAGTTCGGGTACTACGTTACTGGATCTCTGACCGCAGCCATTCAAGAGAAGGTGCGTGTTTATAGAGCGTCCGCGTATTACATTACAGGTTAAGACCGCGTTCTCACAAGAGAAGGTCCGTGTCTATAATTAGAAAGTGAACCATGTGACAGCCAGCTTCATGTTATTTATGGCATGCTCGGACTGCCGGTAATTTAGACGTTTTAGAAATCAGGAGAACTTTACCATTAAACAGTCTCGGCCCGATGTATCAAACAGTATAGACTTTATAATTTGTTTAGTGTGCCTACACTATTTTGAAACAAGAATCACTATGGCCTTAAATATTATACTGAATATCCCTACACAGAGGCTTAGCGAGGGGGGGGGGGGTGCGGGGTGCGGACCGCACCGGGTGACACCATTTAGGGGGGTGACACCAAGGCAAAAAATAGCAAAATATATAGAGAAAAACTTGAGTGGGGTGCAAATCGAAAGTTTGAGGGGGAGGGTGCAAATCGAAAATTTGAAAGTTTTTTCCCGGGAAGGGTGGCTACGCCTCGGGGGGGGGGGGGGGGTGACACCATTAAGTGCCGCACCGGGTGACACCCGACCTCGCTACGCCACTGTCCCTACAATTAATTAAAATAAACATGTGCTTAATCACTTTACGAATACCGTTAAAGTTTACCAAAATGAAAATGGACATAATTACTGTATAAATGCCCTTCAAAAATATAAAAATAAATACAAGTATAATGTATTTAAAGATGTCCTTACAATATATAAAATAAATATGAACATAATTACTGAATGGATGCCTATCAAACGTATCGTGGTGAATATGCATAATTACACAAAAAATGCCTATACAGTGTATAAATTATGATTTTAAGGATAAATACTCTGGATGTCCGGGGCATGTCCCCATCCGCTCTCCCCCCCTCCTCTTCAAGCCATCATCAGGTCACTGACTGTTTACTACAGGCACCCCCGCCTGCTCACTAAAAAAAAACGTCTTCAACGGTCCGCAAACAATAAGGTATCTTTTTACGTTTTTCCTCCCATGTCAGGTCGGGGGCTAATTCGCGACCGCCATCTCCAGTCACCTCAGGACAATAGCGAGTCGACCGTGCCAGCGATGTGTGACACTAATGTCTTTCTTTAGAATAACGGTCTGTCCCAGTCCATGTAGAGGATAACTCACTAACATCAGCCGTGGCCTCAGTTTTAACATCCAACAATTTCGGCCATTTAGTTGGGTTTTTTTTAATTTAATTCAGCAAAAAATATTTAAGTTTACAAACTAATTCAGGCAACAATGGCGTTGCTGAAGCGCGGGGCCCCTTCAAGCGCGGGGCCTGGGGCGGCCGCCCCATTTGCCACCCCCTAACGCCGGCTCTGATGCTAATTCATAGCCATTAAAAAGTGCGTAATGTTTCTGTGTTTTTACAAGCATTTGTATAACTTGTATCGAGCGCGGGGCGTGGGGTGTGGAACGCACCGGGTGACATCATTTAGGGGGTGACACCAAGGCAAAAAATTGCAAAAAAAAATGTCTTTGTGCCAGATCCATTAGAGATTAATTAAAGTTAAATAGACTTTTAAGTACAAATCGACAATTATTACAAGAGTGTGTGTGTGTGTGTGTGGGGGGGGGGGGGTTGCAGTTGGGGGGGGGGACACTACGATGTGCCGCACCGGGTGATACCCGACCTAACGACGACACTGTTCGTTAGTCTTTTTTCTGTCTTATGGCGAGCAAAATTACAACTAGTTCATACCTACCGATTTCTGTGACCTTGGCACGTGCGTCAATAGGCCTCTCAAGGTCACAGAAATTCAAAGCGACAGATATTCGTGCACTGCAGTACAAGCCTGATGCTACTGTCTACTTCAAAGTGAATTAGCAGATAGCTGGAATTTGCTAAGCTAGGGTTGTAAGATTATGATCTCATCTGTAGCCCCTGTCAAGTTGTACAAAAGCAGAAAAAAAAATAAAAGCTGTCATATTTGAGCACCTAAAAGCAAGTCATAAACACACCTTTTTATGATGATTTTATGAAAATTTGTTTTAGAGCGATCGAGAAGGAAATAATCAGTTTTTTGTCTCTCCTGTAAAATTTACATTTTCGGAGTTAGACGGTTTGCGACAGTACTGAGGTACTGATATATATATATATATATATATATATATATATATATATATATATATATATATATATATATATATGTATATATATATATATATATATAAATATATATATATATAAATATATATATATATATATATATATATATATATATAGTGAGTCTAATTTTAGCAATATAAACAAATTCAGAATTTAATGAAAACACACATTTAAGGTAGAACAAACGATGATAGCATAAATATTGGATTTTGTTGTTATTGTTATACATGTGTAAGGTGTAAGCATGCTATCATTGTACCAGTAGTTTAATAAACGGATGTGTTACTTTATATTCTCTTACTTTTATTAAAAGGAAAACTTTTAATCTCAGGCTTCATTTCTCATCAAATTCACACATAAAAACATAATTGAGTTTTATGGATATGACCGGACTTGAAAAGAATTAATTTTATTTCTTGAGTATATTAAAATGCCTATATATTATTTCTTTTATATAATTTTCAATGTGAGTTAACTGAAGTACACATCTATATTAAATGAGACAAATATTTTGTGAAGAGCTTCCTACACGTGTCCCTGTATTTTTTACTCATCTTGTAATACACCAACGGGTTGACGGCTGAGTTGATGTTCTCCACGAAGACAATAGCACAGTAGCAGCAGACCGTGACTTCAAAGTACCTCCCACGTATGGTCAACTTGCGAATGAGAGCCGTCACAGTCAATAGCACAGACTGTGGGATCTGACACATTATAAATACAACGGAAATTACTGATAACATGGGGATTAATTTCCTCTCCTTCCTGTATCGTTTGCTACTGACGTCTGACGCCGCACCTGCTAGAGATTTTCTCCAATACGTCATAAGCGACGTCACTGTAAAAGATGTGCACACTATAATTATAGCGAATGTAAAATACGGAACCGCTAGATCTGTTATGAAATACGATATTGCAAAAATAGCATCTCGATTCTGACGAAAGATAATACCAAGAAAAGTTGTGTTGGTATTTGGGAATTTAATCCAATCTATATAGTTTACTATGTAAATAGGCATAATATTTAAAAACGTAACCAAGTAAATCACAACCATTAAAGTGAAGCTTATTTTCCTTGTTATGAATGTTTTAATTCGTAGAGGCATCAGCACACACAAGCCTGTAGTAAAGCGTTATATCCTTGATTATTTACTTCAGCCAAACTTACTTTATGTTGTGAAAGTATTTTAACTGTACTGAGGTGTCCAGCTTCACAAGCCAATAATAACGCACTATTTCCATTAGTATCCGTCTGTTTGATATTAAAATCTTTTTTCAGTAAAAATTCGACAGATTTTGTATGCCCCATAAAACTAGCTTCAATTAAAGCATTTCTTTGTAATGCATTGATACAATTGATATCAGCGCCTTTTCTCAATAAGAAATTTAACAACTTCCGTATGACCGTTCGAAGCTGCCAATAGTAGCCCGTTATTTCCATTATATATGCTTGATATATGCTTGAAGTTTATTTTTATTTTTCTATGTTTTCTTTCGTACATACAGATAAAAAATAACCATTTGCCTCATCGTTCTAAACGCTTTCGTCTATTCTTTGAATTGAAATATTTTAATATTGATGAAGCGTATCAGAAGTGATTTTGCTTTACAATTTAACTGAAATTATAACAAAAAACAATTCATTTTACAATTTGTAATACTTTCGTAATATTTCTGGTTTGATTTTACAATTATGTAACTCATATTTGTAATAGAGTTTTTCAACAAACTTCGTAAAAAAAACTATACTGTAATATGTCTTGTATAATTTAATCTTCCCTATACACCTTTTTATACATAATAAATAGTCAGTACCAGAATTATTGATGAGTTAAACGCATTTGACGTATTTGTAGTAACTCAAAATATTTCAGTAGTTTCAATCAGGTAGCACTCTTTTTGAAAGACAAATTATAATTTATATTACGATACAACAGTAGCGTAGCGAGGGGAGGGGGGGGGCGGCCGGGGTGCGGATCGCACCGGGTGACATCATTTCGGAGGACACACCAAGGCAAAAAATAGCAAAATATATAGAGAAAAATGATAATTCCATTTAATTCGAGTGTTAAATAGTCTTTTAAGACATGCAAATCGAAAGTTTGAAGGGGGGGGGGGGGGGGGGAGGAGCAAATCGAATACTATTTTTAAAGATACATCCATGGATGCAACAGGTAAGTATTTAATCTCATAATCATCCAATTTTGTTCGAAAAATAAATATTAACATACAGGCTAGCTGAATTTATGTCTGCTATCCAAGTGTCAAAGTGTCGATCTTTTAAAGGTATAATAAAAGTTCGTAGATTCCTGCCCGCATGCTCTAATAACTACTTTTTTTTCTGTCGTAACGCTTGCGGCTAGCCTGCAGTATTAACAGTACCACACCACTTACATACCTCCCCACGCACGCTAACAAATGTTGATCCTATGAGCCATACATTACAAGCACCTGCTGATGTGTGAACATCACATGTGAAATGAGGATAAGTTATTATGTACCCTATTACATGACTTATGTAGGTGAACTACGTTCACCAATCCATGATATAGTCAATATGTCTATATAGTAACAAGAGGGCTACACAGCCTATAATTCGTCGCCAATTTATTGTCATTTTTTTTTTGTGTATCACTATTTTATTGGTCAAAAGTATAAATTAAAATGTTCCTATATTGAGCATTAAATAAAAACCGGTTATAACACGAATTTTTAAGCAAAGAAGAATGTCTTTACATCTGGGTTGACAAGGGTGTTTTCTGGTTCGTAGAGGGCAAACATCACATAGTGTCCGCTTAGTAGTGTGGAAACTTGTCTCGGGGAGCATTCATTTTGCAATGCAGTAGTTACTAAAAATAACTTCGCAATGCGGTAGTTATTTATAAAAAAAATAACATTGCAATGCCGTAATTATTAAAATAACAATTTTGCGAGGCGGTGATAGTTGTTAAAATCACGAGATAACATTTATTACTAAGCAGACATCAGCCCCAACGCTAAACAAGAGATAACCTAGAGCTATCACTTTAATTTATGAAAATCTATGGGTTTCTTTTTTGTTATTTAGAACGGAAGGGGCGTATTTTGTTCGTCTATCTATTTGATAAATAGTGCATCAACAGGCACACATTAATATAATCGCTAAAACACAAATACATACATACGTAGAAAAAATAAAAATAAATATATATATATATATATATATATATATATATATATACATATATATATATATATATATATACATGTAATATTTGTCAATATTAACGTTTACGTGCTAATAGCAAAGGAGGAAAAGACTTAATTCTAACAATAGAAAAAATGTATATATATATATATATATATATATATATATATATATATATATATATATATATATATATATATATATATATATATATGTATAATATACAATTATATTAATCATAACATACTTACCTTATAAATTCATCCTTTCTAACAGCTTGTTACCTCCTACATCAAGCCATTGCTATTACTTTAGTTACAGATAAACGTATCAGGTGACATAACGATAAGCTGCGATAAGAGACAAATGTCACGTGTTATTGTCAAGGGACATTACTGAAAGTAAAATCGTGGTTATTGCATTTCAACTTGTCTCCCGTTATTAACCATCATTTTATACTTACCCTATTATATCAAACTGCTTTTAAAAAGGTGTAGTTTTTTTTTTTAGCATTTGACATATCCCACAAAAAATATGCATCATTTCAAGTTGTGTAATCTTTGCTAGTTACTTTCTATTGGGTTGGCTTTATACTATTGTAACGGTATCATTAAAGCAATTGATATATCTTCTTCTACTTCAATGAAAATGAACCAATATCTAATTGTTTTTTATTAAATTAGACATTACATTACTTAACATAATGTAATTAAATCGTTACTAAATTAACACAGCTGCTCTACGACTTGTTGCACGGTTTCATCGGCCACTGGCTAAGATGGAGAAAGAAATTTCTTTTAGAGTTTACAAACTATTGTTCGGGTCTTAACGTAAGTATTTTAGTCGTTGTCTATGTAGTGTCATCGCCTTGACTAAAAAGTTGAAAATAAAACAAATACAAAAACTTTGTATTAACAAACTCTATGAAATCTTGCTAAAAATCCTTTACATAGTTTATTGACACAAAATTGTTAATTAAATAAAACAGGTTGTGTTTTATTTTTTCAGTGCATTAAAACCATGTTATTATAAATGTTTTAATATTTGCTTTATTACTTGATTGTTATGACGAAAACGTTGAAATGTATTGCTACGGTACGTGTCATATACTTGAAAGTGACTGAAAGTTGTTGGCATGATGCTTATATATGTGAAACATAAAACACATCTGAAACTTTACTTGTATACTAGCATCATTTTTTAAAAAAAAAGTAAATGTTAACAATCAATATTGTGTTGTTGTTTTTGTTTGTTTCATGCATTTTTTCTAGCAATTTTAGTTGAACGTGTAAATTGCGCAATTACATTTTTTTTCTAATGTTTTTGTGAAATAGTATACTCACCTTTTACATTATAAATTTAATATTTTACAGTGTAATTAAAAACAATATTAATATTGAATGAGAAAATATTTTTAACCTTAAATCAAAAAACATATTTTAAGCAGAAAGCAATCAAATAGGGTACAACTAATTGTGCTATGCATTATATTTTTTTATATAAACCAGACTGCATTTTTTTTAAAGAAAAGAATAGATTCAGTTCCAAATTTTCGTAGTATAAAACATAGAAACATTAAAATGTTGATGTATATTACGTATTCAATATTATTATATCGATATTTATAATAAAGTTATGATTATTTTAACATCTGAGTTTAAAGAGTTATACTTAAGTACGTATTTTAATAACAAATTATAAATAAGTCAACATGTGAAAATGTACAATTAATAAATCTGAATGTGCATATTTTGTATTTCTTAAACTAATGATTGTCTTTAATATATTATAATAACTTTGTGCAAATATAAATAAACATATATTTATTTGACATCTCTTTATGCATCTTGAAGTTGAAAAATAATGTATCTTTTATTATTTTACAATTTCGATGTATATAAAATATTTAGAACGTTAGAGAAATAAAACAAAATAATACAGGTAAATAAATATGTTTTTGTTTATTGTTAATAACGGTAACTATTTATATTTGTAGCCTAAATGTGTAACACAATTATATTATACTTGATATTTTATAGTAAATATTTACACTCATTTTACTTTTCAAAATACCTGCTTTGATAAAATCAACGTACGATATGCTTAACAATTTATGTATGAAGTCATTAATGTTTGTTTATGTTGGACATGAGTGTAAAGTATGTTATTAAAAGAAAAAAAAACATTAAAGACCTGCATTTGTCAAGTTTTGTTTTGTTAAAACGGTTTATATCAAAAGTCTTTTGTTTTTAACCCCAACCAGCGCTATTTAAATTTCGTGATTACTTTAGAGTGAACATACAAGTGGCCTAAAGTAGGACCGGCAACAGTTATAGGCCCACTATATAATTAGATAAACAATAATATATTTGTGTTTATTAAATGACCGAATTACTTGTCTATTGAATTTAATAAAATAAATACAATCCTTCTATAATGATTTTAACTGTTACACAACACCATTAAATTCAACACGAAAACATATTTTTAGATGACAGTTATTGTGTTTAAGGGGTAATACTTATATATCAACATGCTTGATTCAATGTCCGTAATTTAGTTTTGATACCATTTAATAAGTAATATATAATTGATTGCAGTGTTAATGGTAAACCTTTTCTTTAAAGTTATAAAGGGCTGCTAAATATACATTTTAAAACAGATGACAGTTATTGTATTTTAGAGGTAAATCGTATATATCAATATGCGTGATTCGATGTCCGTAATTAATGTGTGATTTAGTGTTGATACCATTTAGAAAGATAATATCAAATTGATTGCAGAGTTAATTGTAAACGTTTCTTTAAAGTTATCAATGGCTGCAAAGTATACATTTAAAGCTGATTTGTATTTCCATTCTAAGGTTAAAAATAAAGATGACTGTTTTATATATTTCTTCATTCTACTTGTATATTTTGTAAGTATTGCTTATTAATCTTATCTGAAAGTAATTTATAAACGTAATTAAAACCTTTTTTCCAGAAACATATTTATGTTTAAATTAAAAAGAAAAAAACAGATACAGTATAATTAACAATGTAACATCCGTTAACATACGATAGTTTAATTTAAGAACTACTAGCAACTAATGTAAATACTAGATGGCATATCTGGTAAGCATTCAATTAGGGTTATTAGGCAATGCAAGAAAACATAGTGCTTGACCCTATCTACATGAAATTGTTATTGACGGTTAAATGAACATAGGTAATCTATGGCTCATTGGATCTTTACGTACCATCCAGCTGTGGGGAGGAGTGGGGTTGGGCTTGTCTAGCTTTGAGCGCTGTACCCAGGATTGTGTAGTATGGTATTATCAAGATTAAATAGACTTGTGTAAGCTACAACTTAGGTAGAGACAGACACTGTATTGAAGTGTGAAGACCGGCTAAAAACATAATTTGATCTGGTTTGATTATAGTTGGTCTAAGAATAACCCTCTATTTATAGGATAAGAAATACTTAATAGTCATTATTTCATTACCTGTTGTATACAAGTCTCTGCTTTTATATAAAAATCTATCCAAAACTTACAACATAATCAAATATAAGTCAAATAGTTCTTCAATACACAAGACGTCTTTTTTTCTATAAGAGCGAACGCACAATGCTCTTTTCCACCCTTCTTTTCACGTTTTATCAACTTTGCATTTTTACTCAAAACATAACATTCAAATCGCTAAGGCTTTTGAACCCTTTGTCATGCAAAATTAAAACATTCCACATGCATTCATTGAATACGAGCTATCGCAATGAATTAACGCGGAAATGTATTGTTTTGTTTGAGAAATTGACATCTTTCATCTTTTTTTTTCAAAACCTCTTATGGCAACAAAATAATAAGATTTGAAAAGATGATTTTTTTCACAGGTGTTATGGTTTCTATGGCAAACAGTACTGCTATTGGCGGCTTTATATTTTTTGTGTCTATAGATTAACAACTACTGAGATATGAATTTATTAAATACCCTTTTTAATCTGTAGCTTCTAGCTTGAATTACAAGGAAAGATAGTATTAGATGGCACGGTGACAGGATAGATAACAACTGTGCAGTTACTAAAGACGTGTTACGTGTTTACTTTTTCTTGAATGTTAAGTTAAAGATATCAGTGTGTAGTGGACTAAAGTACTCTTTTCTGCAAGTTTTGGCTTCAAAAGGATCCAACACTGAGCGTTGCTTGTGTTTGAATTCAAACGGCAAGTATAATGTTAGTGATTTTATTTCTAGGTTATGCAGGCAATTAATACAGTTACATGACACGTCATCCAAATATAACGCTAGTGATTTTATTTATATGTTATGCAGGCGATTAATAAATAATAAAGGAGATTAATAAAAGAACAGCATTATAATGTATTATTACATCTAAACGTTTGCCGTGTCTTTTTCGTATCAACCGTGACAAATGTTGGCCAAAACTTGAGTTCGAAACTTAAAGAGTAAGTCAAATGAGCGATGATATTGACTAAACGGTATTCCTACTAAACGAAGCGTACTGTGTTCGTTTAAAAGAGTATTATTTGAATTTAACTTTACTTTTTTGCACTGTAAAATTATATGTTAAATATAAAGTATACAGATTTTATTTCGCTCCGATTTATTTCAAACGAGTAAGTTTTTTTTTCTTCTCCAGAGTTTGATTAGGCATATCGTCAATACTTGCCATAAACGTATAGTTTTGTGTTTGAGCGTGAAGGCTCTAGTATTTCAAGTGTTGATGAGAAATAAATGCATGAAAAGTTACAACATACCTGTTATAATAAATAGAAATGTAGATTAGGTTTTGTTGTTGACAAATTAGAAGTAAGATAGTAAGAAGTAAGATAAACTAAATCGAGTGATTGCTATTTTTTTCTAAAATTAAAGTGATTTATATATATGTATATATATATATATATATATATATATATATATATATATATATATATATATATATATATATATATATATGAAGAGAAAAATAAATACATACTTATGCAAGAGTGCAAGAGTGCACCCGTGAACAAACATACACACAGACACACATTTTGAAATTACTTTGATAATTTCACGCTTGATCAAACTTACACACAGACATGGTGACGTGTTTTCGAGAAAACATTATTCTTTCATCTTTACCCATTCAATTTATCAATATCGTAATTAAGCCCTCGTATTATAAAGATGTGTATCGAAAGTTGAAGGGACGCTCTAACTAAACTATCTTAGATGTTCGATTACAGTTTAGGATTAGATAAAAGCTAAATATCACCCAAAGGAAACATGTGCTTCAGTTGTCTCGCGATACACCTGCTTGTACTGGCAGTTACCATTTACAACGTACAAGCACAGCCTATGTCGTTTGATGCTCTAGATGGCTTGGGATGTAGTCAGGTAGTACATGTTATTTTACTTTCTTTTACTTAAATGCATATCGAACACCAGGAATATTACTTTAACAAAGCTGATGCTTTTCTAAATCTATTTTATATAATAAATAAGAATATAATTGAAAATGTAAATAGTGTGAAAATATATTTTAGGAAGACATTTTAAATAGGCCAGACTAAATCCCAGAAATCCCCAATGATTCACCGACAGCCGAGAAATGTGTTGTATTGCGCTAAATTTAGACCCGCAGAAACAGATAAGGCAATAATGTCAGGCAGGCTGCGACATATTCCTAGGGCAGTGTGCACCTACAGGGAAGGCTATTTATAAATCTATTTGATGTCCTGTGTTATTCTCTGCATTACTGCCCCATCTACAGGCAAATATACAATTATCCCAGCCCTCCCTCCTCCCCAGCTTATTAAAAAAACTATATTATCATCAACAATGCTTTTTTTTAAAAACATATCTTAAAAATAGGTTGACACATTTCTTCAAGGTTTTAGTGACAAAATGCATGTTTATTTATGTGGCTTACATTTTGATTGCAGTAAATAAGATTTACTTCAGCATGAAGATTTTTTCCCATTTAGTTCAAATCCATTATCATGGATGCTCAGCTAGAAGAGACATTCCGAAGCCCCCAAGCCCTGACATTGTTTGTGTTTAATGACACAGCCTACGCCCTGATGCCACCTTACAGGCTTGGCACTTTGTATGACAAGACAAGTGGCAATAATTTAGGTGCCAAGGAATATGTCAACTCTTTTACGTGTAAGAAGTGTTGACTCCTTTAATTTAGTTTAATAGTTTAATTATTTCTTCTAGAACTTGACAAAGCAGTATGATTTACCGTGCCGCAAGTAATACCTATACTTTATTCCTGACCTTCACCCTTGTGTTTACCAAGCACCAGAGGAGTAGTAAGTCACGGGCGTATGTGTGTTGGAAGGGGGGGGGGGGGGCGCGCACGGGGTGAAACATTGTTGATAGGCGACACCAAGGAAAAAAAATAGCAAACACTATAGAAGACAAATGCTTTTTGTAAATCAATATTAATTATTAATCAGAAGCAAACCTGCTAACTATAGAAAAACGAATGCTTCTACCAGCTGTATTAATAAAAACCTGTAGATAAAATTCGTTGCTATTAAGTGTGCACGCTTTAGAGATAAAGATAAGGAGTGACAATCAGAGTTTCTTCCAGGCATCTCTTCGGGGGGGGGGGGCTTAACCCCTCCCCGAAAAATTTTTACCGCCCCCCCCCCCCCCGAACGAAATGATATTTATATAATTTATATAGAAAATATATACTTTTAACAGTGTACCCCCCCCCCCACTCGAATCAAATCTACCGCCCCCCCCCCCAAAATTTCAAGTGCCCCCCCGGAGAAAAAAGTCTGGAAGAAACACTGGTGACAATAACTGCAAAATTTGCATAGAAATACATAAAGCCTTTGTTGAGTATTTTCTACAACAGTCAATCGATGATCGCGGAGAGGATGACAGCAAATATAATAATTTACCCTTAAAAACAATATTTTTTTCAACATTAATTTATTTATATATATATATATATATATATATATATATATATATATATATATATATATATATATATATATATATATATATATATATATATATATATATATATATATATATATATATATATATATATACATATATATACATATAGAGGATACTTTTTTCTATGGGGAGAGACACAATGAGGTGCCGCTTGGGTGACACCCGACCTCGCGACGACACTGCCAAACTCTTCTGTAAAACTTTTAAAATTAGATTGGAAAACCCATTTAATGTTTTTCTTTTTACAACAGAGTGTTTGACTTATAAAAATATGTATTTAATCATTCTTATTCATTTAGTGACTGAAGCAGTTGAAACATCCGCATTTAGTGATGTTAATCCTTTTGGGACGTATTCTGTAAGGAACCGTAAAGTGTTTCTAAACAAAAGAGAAATCAAGAGTGGGGTAAGAAAAGTATTTTGCGAAAAAAATAATAATTGGCTTCTTGTTTCATCGATAGAAATATTTAATGAATTGTGAAAATTACATATTTCAATATAATGCTAATTCGAATTTATCTTTATTTTATCTAAACTATAGCTTACATATTTAAATCGAGTATTATATTTTATTAGTAATATTATTTGTCACTAAGATTTAGGTAGGCCTACTTTTTTCTAAAGCATTCTGGTTCTAAATAATATTTAAATTTAACAAGTTGATTTATGCTTATAAGTTGCATTTGATATTTATTACAATAAACACAAAATTTAACCCAGTTATATTGATGTAAATTTTACATCATGTTATCTATAATTTATAAAGCAAGCATAGTTTACTTAATATAATTTTGTCTCAATAGAATATAGCCAGTGGTACCCCAGTACCAACAAAATATTTCTGTAACGGAGCTATGTTAATCCGACCCAACATACAAGTTGGCCAGCACCTGATTCACATCATAGACCAGGTTTTAGACATGCCACTAGAGGACAATGCCCTGGCTTATGTGGCTGGGAACAACCCGTCTAATTTAACGTGAGTAGATACAGTTTAATATTTTACTCATGTTCACATCTGTTTATTCATTTACATTTCCTACTCGGAAGTTTAATTTTTTTTCTACTTGAAGCATAAACAACAACGTAGTTTGTAACTACATACGCTTCGTTAAGACCGATTGCTATTTCATCTTTCTAAAATGTTTAATTTCAATTTTTTGATGCCTACAAAAAATCTGTATGTATCCCAGATACCTGTTCTTCAGCAAGATTATGGAGTTTCTAAGAAAAGCCCCGCAAGAAGATGGAGAGTACAACTACAACAAACAGGTCCAACAAATCCTTGCAGGCAAAAAGGTGACGTTTTTCATCCCGTCTGACGAGGCTTTGAACCTGATCCCATCACAGAAACTCAGTGAGCTACAGGGCAACACCAGGCTGATGTTGGAGGTACAGTTATCACTTGATTAAAATTTCCTGTGCTTTGTATAGTGTTAAATTCATCTCTTACCACAATATTGTTTTTTCACAAGCCGATACCGTGTTTATTCACATTAGAAATTATAATTCTGGTTAGATTTTGCCAATAATATTATATTATCGTTTTTTAACAAAAAGAACAATCGCAATATTTAAAGCAACTATAATTGTATGCTTGCTAGTATGATTGTATGTATCGGGCTCAATCATTATGAGTATAATGAAACTGGGAGGGGGGATTGTAATTTTTAAATTTATTTTTGAAACATCGGATCCGTATCCCTGATTAGCAGAGTTTTTATTCACAACAGATCATCACCCTCCACATCGTCCCCAACCAAGTCCTGTACACATCACTAGTTAACCACAATGAGATATTCAACACACAGTTTAATTCAGGGGCTGTTGTCTTCAGGAAAAACTTTAACAGGGAAGCAGGTAATTTTTTAAAATAATAAACACAAATTATTAAGTAGAATGGATCGTGATTGACGGAGGGATGAATAACAGCCTACAGATCACTTATTATATAGATACAATAGCAGGAATTTAAGTCAAGTCGATATAATTTGTGAATCAATTAAACAGCACATCAACAACATACGTCAAGGAAATCATTACAGACAAAACAACGATCACAAAGGGTAAATGTCCAAAGATGAAATTTCACGTGTTCAAGTACCTTGGGGCCATACATACTGATGTGGGAACGAGCAAGACACAATTGCATAAAGTGCTCTATAACAACAGTTTTCAGAATATTAAGAACCATTTGGTGTGGAACTGTTTGTTTCCATTAGTTCAAAAGTAAAATTCATACGGTCACTGGTTTTATGTCTATCTTCACGAATGAATGCGACATGGACCCTCATTGCAGACCTCCATAGAATCATCCAGGCCATAGAAATTTGATGCCTACGCAGATTTCTAGAGATCTTATAAAGAGATCACATAACTAGTGGAGAAGTCTGTGAAGGGATCACTAATGATAAAGGTTCATATTTAAGTTTACTGAGTATAGTCAAAACAAGAGAAAAGAAATTAGACGCACGAGCCAACGGCATATCCAAAAAAAGTTCAGAGCCAAGCCGTCACTAAATGGTGGATATTATGTATTCGACTAAGCTGCCCTCTTAAAATACTGGGGACAGCAACACATCTTGGAGAAAAAAAACTCCAAGCAACTGCTGCTTTGTAGTTTATCATGGCAGGACAAATGATATGGTAGCAAATACCAAATTAAAAATCAGTGTGAATTTGGAGTCAACGCCCTGTATGATGCATTACAGATTAATACGTAATACATACTTGTAATGTAGAAAATCCCTTTCACATTACAAATAAAAACGAAGAAGAATAAAGACTGATTGATCATTTCATTAAATATCTTTTTAAAATTAAAACATGAATTATTATCACCTTGCTGAGTTATTTTTAAATTTATAACTTATAACATTTGTATTAAACATGTAAACTAATTTTAAAATGCTTAGAAATTAGAACTTTGAATCGTCGATTCAATTACAAAATAAAACATAATATAATAGACAAAAATATCGCAGAAAATAATTTCCACAGAAAATATATCACTTGCATTGGTTATTATTATCTGTTAAAGTATATAGAAATTTACATTGATAACACATTTTCCCATTTCCGTTAGATAAGAATGTTATGTTGTAGTTCTTTAAAACAATATCTATTATCTGCTAGTGTATGTGACGGGTGCACTAAAAGGTGGTGGAACTGTAACAGCCAAACTTAACCCAGGCAACAGAACTGTTCTCAATGGTGTTGTCCATCAGATTGATGCCATGCTGGGATTTGTTTACAAGACTGCTATTGAGGAGATTGAGATTGATCCTAACACTCAGTAAGGTTTTTGTTTCTAATCAATAAAATTGATATAAATAATAAATACCCTGACAATAAGTTTAATTATTTAATTACCAAACGTGGGCCTCAAAATATTCTTTTCTTTAGTTTTTTGTTTAATTAAAAATAATTTAACTAAGCATCTACAGCTCATGGGTTTTGTTTTAAAATAATTTTCTTTATAGTCTCGAATAAACCGCATAGTTAACAAATATATAAAAAACAACATTTAAAAATGTCATAATATTTTTAATTTCAAATAATTAGATTTCTTCATCGTCCTAATATTTTCTTGTTCGTAGTAGCCGAGGCCACATTTCGGCGAAATATATTATCTTTCTTTAACTTTTATGTACTTTATGTACCATGATTTTCATGGTTATTTTTATGTGTGTTTATTAAAACGTTTTCAATCAAACATTTGTTTAACAAACATTTTTGGGGTATAATTAACATATAACATATTTTTAAAATTAATGAATGTAGTTATTACATATAAAAACAATTTTATCGATACAACAGACACTTTGAGCAGCTGATATTCGCAGCAAGAAAAGATCTACAGAACTACATCACAGCCACCAGTGGTGTTGTTGTATTTGTACCAACCAACCCAGCCATGTACGCCATCGCTAACGTCTACCCTAACTACATCAACAACCAGTCGTTGATTAACATGGTATGGTGATTAGAAGTTAAGTATTAAATATTGTTAACTTCAATTTTCTATATCCATATGACTTATTTACGTTTGAGTTTTTCTCTCTAGGTAACTGACCAAGTTTGAACACGAAAAAAACGCATATTCGTTTTTTTATATGAAAATTAGTTTTCGTAATACATATTGCAGTTGCTATAAACAATTATTATTGAAGAATTATCAGTTTCAATTTCTTTACAGCATCGAACGCTATGCATGCATCTACCTTGATCAAATCGTCGTTTACGATGTGTTACATTAATGTGTTTTTATAAAATATATTTATTATATAAAAATAGCGTATTCATAGGTTTTATATACTTTCTAATCTAATTAGCTCAAAGTTGTTTTTTATTTTAATAAAAAGGTTCTAGAGATGAGCCTTCTACTACATGGCCAGTCTATAAACGTAATGGATTATAACGGAGGGTATGAAGCTTATAAAACTGCTGTATCAAGATACAATGGACGTCTGATCAAAGTTTATACTGAAGGGGATGGTAGGCATTAACATTACATTTTAAAACATGTTTTTTATATTGTTTGAGCTTACTTAAGAAACGTATTGTAAATTAATGCACCATCTTAAACACAGTAACCTGGGTAGAAGGAGGATATGTGAAGGCTAGAGTTATCAAACCTGACATAGGTGTCACTAATGGTGCGGTCCATCAGATTGATGCAGTTTTTGGGATCCCCACTCGGGATATTCCGTACACTGTCTTCTGTGAGGACTGGCTCGTGTAAGTACATGTATTCGAAAATACCATATTTAAATTATATTAAATGTACATATAATATAGTATATGTATATATATAGGCCTTGATAAATAAACATATATATATATATATATATATATATATATATATATATATATATATATATATATATATATATATATATGTATGTATATATATATATATATGTATATATATATATATATATATATATATATATATATATATATATATATATATATATATATATATATATATAGATAGATAGATATATATATAGATATAGATAGATAGATAGATAGATAAATATATGGTTGTTATGAAAAATTCGCAGCACAATTGTTGTCGATTCCATTAATTACTATTCTGACATTGCTGTTAATGTATAGTAATTTGCGACGATACAAATAATATATTGATGTAATTGATGTATAGTTTGGTCTATATTTTCTTTTTGTTAATAAATGATCCACAATTATGTCAAAAGCTGTTGCATAAAATATACGCGAAATTTAATTATTACAAATATTTGTTTATAAATAACTTGTTCTTCTCAAAATCGACAGATCAGTCACTTAATTAGCGCTTTACTTAAACAAAAATATTAACCAGCTCGCGCTGTGCCTTTAACCAAAAAAAAAACAAAACAAATCATCAATTGTATGGGAAGAAGCATTACTTGTTCATAAATTAGCAGCAGTTGTAATAAGTACGTTTTAATATACCAAAGAAGTGTATTCCAATTAAACAGATCGACCTACATGCAGCTCAAGTACGTAGGTCTGGACGCCTACATGAGAGATCCAACTCTGACCAGAAACCAGGACTGTGTGTTTAGTGCCAGTGCTGCTGCTGGTCAAGTCCCTCCTGCTGCTGGCACCTGGCAAACTAACACTGGACTAGCCAATCAGAATCAAGCTAACACTGGACAAGCCAATCAGAATCAAGCTAACACTGGACAAGCCAATCAGAATCAAGCTAACACTGGACAAGCCAATCAGAATCAAGCTAACACTGGACAAGCCAATCAGAATCAAGCTAACACTGGACAAGCCAATCAGAATCAAGCTAACACTGGACAAGCCAATCAGAATCAAGCTAACACTGGACAAGACAATCAGGATTTATTCGAAGGCGTGTGTCGGAATGGCGATCATAGGTACAATTTATCCAAAGTTATATATGGTCAAGGTTTGATAACAGCCGTTTGGTATTTATTACTATAGCACGCAACAGAAAACGTCAAAAAATAGGAAAAATTCCACAAATACTAATCTACCAAAAACAAACCGCACATATTATTGTATTGTCACTTTAGTTAGCGTATAAATGCATATAGTCGCTTTGGTTTGTGTATGAGTATAAAGTTTTCTGAATGTGTATAGGTATATTTTTGAGGTAATATATAAATGTACAACACACATTTACTAATTCTCTATAACTTACATTAATTGATTAACTTGGTAAACAATACAAAAATAGTATCATAAACATCTCGAATCTATTAAAAAATAAGTCAGTATTATGTTTTAGTTTTACAAACAGGAACTTTGATGTGGTCTTTATTTGTTTAGATGCGAATTCACGTTCTTTGTGCCTAACGGAACAGCTATTGACAACTTTGCAGCGACTACTTATGGACAACAAATTATGAATGATCAAAAAAGATGGAGATGGGTATGTTTTATAACATGTCATTTTTATTCCATGATTTAACTAGCAGCTAATCCAAAGCATTCTATTTATTTGCACATTTAATACAAGCAAAACTATAGTTAGGGACATTAAGTTGCTTAGCATTGCATTAATAATTAAACACGCTTACTACTTTTGTATTATTAATTTAATTCAATATCCAATAATTCATTTCATTAGGTCCTTAGAAGATTAATCACATTCAGAGAGAAGATTTACATTGACCAGCTGGCCTTTGGTGCACCAAGGAGTTATTATGCTGACAATGGTGAAGAGATCATCATACAGACAGACTCCAGGTCCAATATCCCCAGTGGGCAGAGAAGTAAGCAGAAATCATTTATTTTTTTACAATCTGTTGGAAACTTGCTTTGTTTATTGTTTTAAGTTTGTCTATAGTATTTAACACAGTTATCTACATCAAGTATGTCTAATGTATTTAACCTATATCAAATTTTACTCATGTATTTTTGTCTTATGTATTTAATACAGCTACCTACATCATGTTTGGAGGTGTTAGAGCACAGGTAATACACTCGGACATTGGAGCCACCAATGGTGTCATCCACATTATCAACTCCCTTCTTTTTGTACCGGAGGATTTGAGCAGGGAGTTTAGTGAAATAGGTAAAAAGTTAACTAAAATACTGTAGTGTTATATAAATCTGGCCGTTATAGGCTAGGCTTTCCTCAAGCTATTTTTAACGATGTTCAAATGTAAATGTTAACGCAGGCATGTATGTGTTTTAAGAAAAAAAAATAGTTACAACAAGAACGACATCTTTCCCAAGTGACGCTTTTACCATCACAACTTGTTTCGTGAAGACAAAGTATAAATGCCTATATCAATAAATGATATCGGCTACAAATTACAGAAAATTTATTCGGGAACAACACGTTTGCCTATACGTGTAGTTATTCAAATAATTGGTGCCAATGACCTGGTTTAAATATCGAATTTACTAATAAAATCCAAATCTACATACATAGAAATCAAAGTATGTCTGCTGTGGGCAGACTGGCTAATGGCTTTGTCGTTTTTAGAAAATTCAAAAGCCTGAGCGTGCATGTGCATGTGTGTGTATGTGTATATGTATGTATATTTGTATATGTGTATGTGTATGCGTGTTCGCATGTGCAAGTGCGGGCACAGGCGCAGGTGAGGTGTAGGTGTATGTGTTTGAGTTTGAGGTTGAGTTGCAGTGGAGTTTAGGATTTGAGTTTGAGTTAGTTGCTCATGTTTTTGTTTATATGATTGTTTTTAGGTGTCGAAGTTCAGGGAGGGGAGAGGGTTTATCTTTTTGTTTTGTGGTTTAGGTTTATGTTCTCTGTTTATGTAAATGGTTGAAGATGTGGTGAATGTTATGGTTTATGTTTGTGGTTGAATTTTTGGTGAATGCTAGGATTTATGTGTGTGTTTATTCTAGTGTTTATGTTTTTTTAGACGTAGAAGTGTGAAGAGGGGAGGAGGATTGTGTCTATGTTTAATTATGTTGATGTTTGTTGATGTTGTTGTTGTTTGTTGTGGTTATGGTGAGGTTTAGATGTAAGTGTTAAACACATTTTCCAAAATCTCGTTATTTGCATTTAGACATTAGTTGAAAATGCAATATATTCTTAAAACCTCTGGCTCCGCTGTATATATGATGTTTAATAAACACACGAGTCGCTGTCTATTCAAACATAAAGTTTATTGAGTATTCAGAAATCGTGTGTTTAATGCATTTATGTTACATCAGTACAATGCTATTAAAATGTAAATAAATTGCAGCTTTAAATAGCAAAGCTAGTAATACGTTTACCTTAATTACTATTACGTCACCTACCTTAAAAAATGTAGTGTACTAATTGTAATGACTCGACAAATATTAATCTGAATCACCTTTTTTTTTGAACACACGGACGCACCTTTACGGGTCGTCGAGTGTGTGCAGTAACATCCGCTAACCGGTGTAACAACACAAGCCTAAATAAAACGAAAGCTCGTTTACACTAGAAAGAGTATAATCCTATCTACATTATCTACACAAACACAGGCTGGTCTAAAGCTAGTATACAAAGCTAATAAGTTGACAAAACTTACCTGCACTAACGTTAGAAGAAATCGACTAAGCTGAGGCTATCATACGTGTTCTCACACACCTTATGTGCATACGTACACAAAAAAGGTACAGACCGGTATATGATTACGAAACAAACACTTTTCCCGAGGATTGAAGAGGGAAAGGGTATAAATGACAATCAACATGCTATCCCATGTATCCCGCTTCATACATTCACTTCAACTTTTTTACACCAGCCCAAGAGAATATTTTGACATTGAGCAATTTAACATTATACACAGTAGGCCTATTTGTCAAACATGCGAGAAGCAAGAAAACTTTGTCGACAACCAAAAACTAAATAAAGGCAGTGCATAATAGACTTCAGTACTGTATGTGTAGTTAGACAAACTAATGTAAGCAAGAACGTAACACTTTTTATTCCACATATAACGCCCTGTTTAGTAAATATTGTATTATCAAATAGTAATTGAGCTATAAAAGTTGATTAATGGGCAAAAGCAAATTATTACATTTCTTTTTTTTTTAAATCAATAACTCATTATTCCAGATTTAAAAACTAAGATACAGTTGCTATACCGATGATAAAAAGATGGAACGAAGGACTGACAGACTACTAAGCGGCTTATATATATATATATATATATATATATATATATATATATATATATATATATATATATATATATCACTTTATACACATTTATACGTTCATTTTTCATGCTTTGATTTCTCGTTTTTTTCCTAGTAAATGAGACAACGCCCAGTGGCAACTTGAATACTAGTTTGCGTAAGTTATTTCAGTTTATTAACTTACCTCTCTCTCTCTCTCTTTCTCTCTCTCTCTCTCTTTTATATATATATATATATATATATATATATATATATATATATATATATATATATATATATATATATATATATATATATATATATATATATATATATATATATATATATGTATTTGTGTGTATATATACATTTTTATAAATATATGTGTGCTTATACATATGCTGTAATGTTTACATCATTGTACTACTTTTTTACTTTCTGTTTATTACAACAGACAGCAACAAACATAATGCTGGAAGTAAGTAATATGTAATGTATTATAATAATTTTTTGCTTTGAGTTGGTGGTGGGGGGGGGGATCACATTTTACTCCCAGTGTCTATTACACTTGCAAAACAGTTTTATGGCTGGCCTTTAGTTAATAATGTATTCATAATAATTGGCTTTTGTTTATTTTGCTGTAAAAAATATGAATGCCTTTTGCCGCATATGTTTCTAGAAAGGTAATGCTATGTTAATGAATGGATTTTTTTTTTAATTGTTTAACATAGAAACTCAAAACGTATCTAGATATTTTATTTCATATATTTTTAATTTGTTTGTTTTATTACAACGTTAAGAAATTATTTAATCATTTGTTTATCTTACTTTAACAAAGATGTAACAAAATATCAAAAAGATCAATTAACTTTTGCACTACCGTCTATTTAATGCAGATTTGATTCAACAAACGAGTCAGCTTGCTGTATTATTCTCAGCTGCAGCTGTAATAAGTATTGCAGTATTCGGTTAAGTTGAAACGAAGCAAGTACAAATCAAAATAAATAGGTTAAAAATGTGTGTAATGCAATTGATTTAATAAAAGTTGCTATACAAGTTATTGACTTCAATTCCTAATTGTAATCCATAGTTGTTGTTTTTTTATCTTCAATGAACTGTAATTTGAATCCAACACTGATATATATATATATATATATATATATATATATATATATATATATATATATATATATATATATATATCAATGCTCCTTGTAGTTTTGTTTGACACAGGCTATGGAAGCAAATCCTAAAAGAGAAGTAGGTTGAAATTGGAGTCAACTGCCTATTTTGCACATAACCAGTTGACAAGCATACATAATTGTAATGGAGTGAATCTCTTCCACAACTAACATTAAGAACAAAGAATAATAAATAAGTTAAGGATTACAAATTTTAAACACCGTGCAGACATTGGTCCTTTAAAATTTTATAAAATCGGTATAATATCAACCGTAAGATGTACAACCCTTTAGCTTTATTTTTTCGTTGGTAAAATTAAATTGAATACATGTTGTTATAGATGGTTCTAAATTTGACTCCGTTTATGCGTTCTGATGCCAATGGTTATCAAGCAGAAATTACCTTGTTCAATCTAACGTCGGAGAACTATACACTAGTGTTTGTTTATAACGATTATCTTATACAAGTACTTATTTATATAAACTAAATTATTTTAACAAAAATGTATTATTATTCTTTAAAGATTACTTTGGTTTTATTCTTTAAATATATTGTTTATGTTTTAGCACAATAGTGTATCATTTTACGAAAGTAGGCCTACTCATCTATATGCTACTAAAACTCAAGTTTATTTACAAGTTTATTTTTGTTTGTCCGTTTAGTTACACGAGAACAACTCCACTATGTGTAGTCGCTTAGACCCTATGGTTCAACTTATAAGGATAGCAACTAGCATCGACTCCTCTCTTGAAGGTTTCACCTTATTTCATGCCTTATTTCGATGGTTGTCAAGATAGCAGCTATGCAATAACATATATTTTGCGATATTAGTATTGTTTATGCTTGTTGGCCTTACGGCTGTCGGCCTTATGTCATGTGGGCTTTATGTCAATGTCGGCCTTTTGTCCGTGTCGGCCTTTTGTCTTGTCGGCCTTTCGGATTTAGGTCTTTTGTCTTACACCCATATTACTCATGGTCTATTGAGAGGATAAAAAGTAGCGGCTGTTTTTTATCGCGTGTTATTAATGATACGCTTCTATCTTGTAATGATATAATTTAAACTGTTTGTAAGTGCAAGTCACGTTCAGAATAGTTTTCTATAAAGGAAGAAAAATGTCAGATGTCAATTTTTAACGTAGAAATATATTACAGCGCAAATACATATATAACAGACGTCATGCATTTTTCTCCGCAGCAGGAAGCTTTACAAATTCTGTAGATAACAGACTAATTTACAACCACAAAAACATTTCTGTAGTTGGTTTTGAAATATTAATTTGTAAGTGTTAAAACATCTTTGTATTTAAATGTAACCAACATAAAGTAAAAGCGTTTATTGATTTTTAAAAGAAACTTTAAAAAGAGGAATAGCTATCTTAATCATCAACCGATTGAGCTAATTTAAAAACACATTAACTAAAGTAATATATAACTTGATTTTTTACTGTTTTCACAGTTCAATATTTTAGAAATAAGGACTGATAGAAAAAATGTATACACATTTTAATGTAATAACCATAAATATTTTTGTATAGAATTATCATTTATCAGTTGAATCAATTTATAAAGAGTTTTAAACGTATGCCATTGTCCACCGTTATACACATAGGCTTATTTCCTTTAACATTTTTCTTTTGCAATTTATTAGATTCAATATAACATTCAACTTTTCCTAATAACAACTGATTAGCCAAAATCAACTACACCTATTCCCTTCAAAATGTCAGCCAAACAATTTAAAATGATTTGTTTAATATAAAAGTAATAGATAAGAATTAAAAACACATTCTAATGTAATCAGCGAAGAATTACACATATATTTGGAATATGTATTGTTTCCAGCTATTTAACACATGCAACTATTTCAATTTATAGTAATTACTTAAATATTAGTCAAGAAAGAGGAGCGACGTTGACAATAAACATACCCAAAATACCAATATGATGTGCATTTTGAACCTAAGTATAATGGTATATTAACTTACTACACAGTATCCTTAAAATGTAATGCAAAAAATTACAACATTTTAAAAAAAATTATTTGATATTCAAAAGAGAAATCATATTTTAGATATTTGGAATATGTATTGTTTCCAGCTATTTAACACATGCAACTATTTAAATTTATAGTAATTACTTAAATATTAGTCAAGAAAGAGGAGCGACGTTGACAATAAACATACCCAAAATACCAATATGATGTGCATTTTGAACCTAAGTATAATGGTATATTAACTTACTACACAGTATCCTTAAAATGTAATGCAAAAAATTACAACATTTTTAAAAAAATTATTTGATATTCAAAAGAGAAATCATATTTTAGATATGTAGGCGGTAGGTCATTAACAATTTAAAATTGTATATAAATCTATACATACTATATTGTTTTTGTCAGTTGAAATCAAAAAGTGTCAACGTCATTGAAATATTTACATGTTATTATATAATACATTTTAAATTATATATATATATATATATATATATATATATATATATATATATATATATATATATATATATATATATATATATATATATATATATATATATATATATATTGTTGTGTGATTGTGTGTGATGAAAATCTAATAAATCTATCATTGCCTATGACTGTTTGTTATTCCATGCCCATAAGTGCATGATCATCTGCTTGTAATATCGCTTTATATAAAGTTTCGTCTTTATGTGGTCTGTTCTCGAGAGTTAATATTTCTTAATTAATGTTGGCCTACATAGTGTTGTTAATATTTTTTTTTAATTAAAGCAATTTTATTTCAGAACAATCTATTATCATCTTTATCTCCTTTTGTGGCTGTTGTGTAGATCATCTGAGAACTGTACTTAGAAACTAGCCTAATCAAACCCTTTGAATACAACTCTTTGAGAGCCTGCTTAGCAAGTGAACCTCTAACTTTTAACTTTTCAGATACAACTGAAGGTGTGATGAGCTTGAAACTTCTTTGTATAATTTGTCATATATTGCCTTGTCAAAACAGGATACGATTGTTCAACTTATCACGGACTTTTCCTTTAGACCACTTCTTCTCAGCTTTACCATTCTAGACTTTCCTGCAGTTGTTTTGCTTGCCTCGACAGCTCCATTGGCTTCTGCCTTCTTTGCCGCCATTTTGGTCGACTTGGTTGAGAATAAATATAAATATATATATATATATATATATATATATATATATATATATATATATATATATATATATATATATATATATATATATATATATATATATATAGTAAAATAGTGCTTTATTTTGAAACTATACATCAGAGATACATCACCACATTTTTAAAAATATTCTTTTATACATTGTTAGAAATATTTAAACATACATTAGAAATCAATATTTACAACAAAAAATAAATAAATTGTACAAACAGAAATTAGGTTCAAGTTTTTAAGAATCTCCTGACCCTGTGTTTCCCCCCTCGGTGTGTGTACACACTTGGAGAGAATTTCCTCAATGGCTTTAGCTTTATAGTGCTCTTCATTTTGAAATTCTTCCTGGACTAACCATTTCAATGTCTCGGCATTTTTAAGTTCAGTTTTTTTTCAACTCAATATGCCACTTAGTTAAATCTGGTGTGCCTGTATTGGAATTATTTTTATTCCTCTTTATTTCATCTTCAAGTGCTTTATGTTAGTTGACAGGTAATCAACAGAGTTATGGAACTTGTCTTGTCTTATCATAAATTGCCGAGAGAGTTCAATAAATATTTCGTGCTCACTGCTTCTCTTGTTTTCCAGACCTTTGATTATAAGACTACAATGTTCTTTATGTGCATTTAAATCTTCCAAAAATGCTTCGAAGCTTTCCAGGTTAACCTTTTAATTTCTTTGGATTTCTGGATATAAAGCTTTTTGCTTATTTTCTCGAGGCGTATTAGATCTAGATTCAATAATATTAAATTATATTAACTCCTATTAAATGATTAAGCTGTGTTGTAGCCTAAATTGCAAATTTTGGACATTTTGGTTTGTCTATCACATATTGCCAGATCAATAATATTTATAATTTTATCCGAATTGCTAGAAAAGTGTTCAGTAGAGGTTGTTCAAAACGTTCTCTACTAATCAAAGTAGGACTATAGTAAAATAACAGTGGTCCAGTTATAAAACAATTACACACCTATTCAATAAAAATGTAGGCTGTGACTAACAAATATTTACACACATTATAATGCCTTTAGCTTTTGTAATGTATTATTAATAAAATCGATTTTATCATAATAAATGATTGATAATTGATTGATTTCTATTTTTAATTACTATGTGAAAAATTACAAGTTAAATCCCTTAATTGTTCAAGTTATGTATATGGGAAGCAACTAGAACCGATCGAATCCTCATCAAATTATTAAAATGATTTTCTCAACATAGTATCTTGTCCACACAGTTGGCACCAATAGTTCCACAGATGTTATTTTAGAAAATATGGTCCGTGGGTTGGACATCCTGTACAGTGGACCAGGGATTCTACTTGACTCACTAATCTTAATTGATTTTTTTTCAAAAGCCGATCGGGCCAGAAATGAGTATCCTATGTTCGTATTGTGTGTTTGTATATATATATATATATATATATATATATATATATATATATATATATATATATATATATATATATATATATTGCTATTTTTGGTCTGGTGTCACCCCCCTAAATGATGCTAGCTGGAGCGGCCCAACTCTCCCCCCCCCCCCCCCCTCGCGACGCCTCTGACTTAAAGGGTAGTGGGGAGTATTTTAACAATGTTATAGTGCCTTCTACTGTAGGTCTGGGCAAGGGTGGTATTTTGATAAGGTTATAGTGCCGTCTACTGAAAGAGCGGGGTTGCTCAAAATGTAAGAATGAAGA